GAAAATAGGGAATCTGACGTCCCTTCCCTTCACTCTCACCTCCTCCTGCTGCTTGATCCTCATGTCCACTTCTGGCAACATCCACGTGTCTTCCCCGCGGGCTTGCCTGAGCTCCTTGCGCCTCTCCTCCCGCTCATGCTGCTCTTTAGCCTGGAATTGACACAGGGGATTCAAGCTTTCAATTTCTTTCACACACCCCTCACCTCCAAAACAGGCAACAAAGCTGATGTACTCTCAAGGCACAGCATTAATCTCAGACATTTGTGGCACAATTCAATAATCCACCTTCAACATAAACCCCCATCACGTCACAGATGTTCAAAAACATTTCCAAAATGTAGTTGTGTGTAAACTAGGCCTCAGTGGAGCCATCAAGGACTAAATCTCTTCTGTGACAAAACAAAAACTCCTCATCCCCCAGGATTTCCATGGATCCGATCATTTCCTGCAGGAAGCCGATCCATCACAATTAGGCTAATTCATCCTGGAGCACATCCTTACAATTAAGAAGAGCTAACACAGCTGTGGGAGAGATAACAGTGCTGGGGGGCTCGACAGAGGTACATTATTAACCTGTTTGTTCCTCCACTGCCATGGAGAGTGCAATAAACCCTTCAGCTTTTAGATCACTCGGTTGAAAATAAGTCATTTGTCAAATCCCAGTCTCTCTAACCACAAACCAGTACTACCCTGACTAGGCTTGTCCCATTCCACTACATTCCCAGCAGCTGGCTGGCTAATTTCCACCACTGTCCAGTGAATGAACTACTGTAAGCAGCACTTCCAAAAAGGTGTGTTCAATGACATCCTCACATGCTGTGACTTTTGTGTTAGACTGCTGTCCACTGCATGCAAGCAGCCAATTAAATCTCTTCTCAGTCTCAATATGCGCAGAAAAAAATACACTGAAAATTCCTGGTGGATCTCATCTTTTGTAACAGAGCCAAATAAAATGATCTGCTTTATTTATTTAAATTTAATATTTTAATGTCTTGCATCTACTTGATAGATAATGATAAGAATACTTACTCTAACAGCTTTCCACCTGAAAATCAACCTTTCCTTGTACTTCATGGTTACTGACAGAATTATCTTGTTAAAGAGTGTTTCCTTTTGAGACATACATATGACATAATGTAACAAATGCAGTAATCAGGAGTGTAACGCAGCTCCTGAGGCAGGGCCTATGGAAATGTCTAACACTTAGTGACACATTTTTAAGTGCTCACACAGAAGAGTGGGACATCATACAGCTAAAGATAAAGATAAACATCAGATAAAGATCCAATACATGCAGACAAAGAGGCACTCCAATGCCTCTGGAAATGAAGATGCTGCGATGGACCCTCGGCTGTACAAGACTAGACCATGTCATGAATGAAGGGGCGCGAAAAACACTCACTGAGAAAATGAGGGAATCGCGCCTGCGACAGTATGGACACGTGCTCTGCAGCAATGACACATCAATGGCAAAGACCGCCCTCGAATTGAATGCGGAAGGCCGCCGGCCTCATGGACAACCTTAACGCGCTGGCTGGACTGGCTGAAAGACGACATGGGCCTCGCAAAAGTCTCCTGCCGAGACGCCGCAGACCGTACGAAGTGGAAAAATCGGTGCAAACAAGCAGACCCCACATAAGTGGGAAAATGCGAGGAAGAAGAAGAAGAATACATGCAGACAAAGATTACATACTGTTGACTCACCTGGGTGACATGCGGCAGCCATCTCACACCAGCAGCCCCACTACACCGATCAGACACAGCAGTGAGAAATTGTTCAAGACTGAATTAAGAACTTTAGGTAGGCCAGACTGGACAGACCCATAGCAGAACTTAGTCAGGAACCAGGAATCAACATCCCTTCTCAAACAGCACTGTGGCACCTTTAATGGTCAAGTAGTTTTGTAACGGAGCCAAATAAATTGATCTGCTTTATTCAGGGTTTAAGGTTTAGGGTCTCATTCAGAAAATAACACCTCCTGCAGCATGGTGGAGGACTCCATACTGCAGCATTGATCAAGAAACTTTGGAAAGGGAAGAGCACCACCTACTGGTCCACCAACCAAGCTACTGCTGTGAATACTCTTTTCTCATTTTATACGGACCAGACCAAGACCTGTATTCTGAGATCTGTTGAGATAAGGTAACTCGGCCCAACTATAAAAGGTAATTTAATTAAAAAGCCACTCGCCAAGAAACGTGGTAATTTACCTAAACAAATACCGTATTTTCCAATAAGGCTTATTTAAAAAAAACGATTTTTCTTATTAAATTGATTGTTTTTTTGTTTATATAAGCATACCTTAACCACCAAATCAGACATGTGGTCAAACGTCAGAAAGGTTCAGGCAATTCACCTTGTCATTCAAACAAGCAACAGGTCTTTGAAACTCTAGTTCTGCATATACTGTACGAACTTGCTAGCATACCTTAAATTGTTATGGTATTTGCATAACACATTAACATTCTTAAAGCTTTAATTTTCGTCCAAGAAGCTTATGTTCCTAGGCGTCTGCAAAGCACTAGGGAAAAAAAAAAACCTCGCCTTTGAATTTGCACCATGCCGAATGCAAATTATTAAGTATTGATCATGATTTGAGAAGACGGGGGGGAAAAGTAAAGCTCAACACGTCAGATAGAAGCAAAGGATTTCAACACACTGTTCTGAGGCATGGTTTATTCAAAAACCAAGGCTTGTTTTGCCTTTGCTTCTGAGCTACAGGCGGTGTTTGGACAAACTGCTGACGCACAAATAGGCTTCTCCGCATCTTTTCCTTCCTGCAGCGGCGCGTAATGCGTCTTATCACCAGCGTTCAGCATTTGGTTTTGGACTCTCCAGCCAAGTAATTAAAGTGACTGATGACAGCAAGGCAGTTGTGCTGATAAGGTTTATGATACTTATTTTTGTTCAGCATATGCGATACAAATTTTCATTACAAGAGCCCACGAAAGAAGGAAACCGTTCCACCTCGCATAGCGCAGTTGAACATTCCTTAAGATAAATTATCGGGTGCAATGTTGCTATACCTATTATCACGCCGTTACAATGCCTAAATAATTCAAGTTTCTATTTTTAATTTTATCTTCTGTGTAAGACTAATAACTATCCAAAACTGGCGCATACATTGATTTTAATGTAGAATAGTAATACCCTAAACTTCCTGAAGAACTAAAGGAGATGCTTTCAGTATCTGCTTCAGTGCCAAGGACAGAATAAATAATGAATTCGCTCACAATAATTTATTTAAAACGTCTGAATAGTTCCTTTCCAGAAAATATGGAAAAGAAAATTACCCTAAGAGACATGTACATAAGCTACAGACGACATCGTTCACTGCAGGTGCGATATCTCCACCTTGTGGTTTCGCTGTTATATGACGCGAGTAAAAAATCAATTTCCCTCTGCCCCGCACATACAAGAGCTAGTTATATAGTATAACGTGCCAGAGGAAATTGGTGATAAAAAGAACTAGGAACCGCTACACCTGTTTATAGTTCAGCTAATATGACTCATCAAGAACTTTGTCTGACAAGAAGTTACCAATTAAATACAGTACAAGAGGCAACAGAAGTGCAGAAATGACATTACTGATAGTTGTCTTGAAATATTCCATATCCCGTTTCTTTCAAAGCATAAAATCACTTCCTCGAAACTGCATATACTCTATAATCCTTATTTGCTTACGCGTACGTGTAAAGATTTTAAGTATTTCAGTATTAACGATTATTCAGTAAATACGGCAAGAGTATTCATATTAAGCACAGATGTATAAGTTCCCACCCTTCTTGGAACACGGAGTAAGCAATCTTCACGAACAGTAATTTTCATCGAAACTCACACCTACCTTCTTCAGAATGTCTTCTCTTGCCTTCCTTTTCAACTCTTTCTTCTCATTGAGGCTGTTGGCACTTTCAAAACTACCACCGTACGCCGCCATGACGATGCCGCAAACCGAGCGGCCGGTTAATCCAAGGCCTTTTAAAAGGTCGTAAATACATTACGACAGTTGAAGCCGCAAAAAAAAAACAGTAAATAACGCACAGCTGCCCAGAAGTTATTATATACATAAAATGAAGTGGTCTGGGATGAACCCTTTGAGCATTTTAAAACGGATGTAAGGGAGTATTCGCAGCAAAAATATGAAAGCGGTGCGGACGTTATTTTTATTTAATTAGTTTTTTCATAACTTGAATTTATGTTGTAATATATACCCCTGACGATCTTTTTGTCTTGAGATGTTATATGTACTCGTTTGTATTGTAATTTGTGTTATTCTGTTATGCATAAATTAAAAAAAAACAGCTGCCCAGAAGTCAATCTACGGCAATAACTGTACAGTATTTGTTTTGTGATTACGTCATTGGATTTAGAAGGGTGCGATAGAAGGTGTAGCGAACATTGTTTTTATTATGCCAGAGGTCATTTTTTATTGCACTTGTGATTTTGGAATCTGTTCATACAATGGTCTTGGGTCAAAATGAAAAATCTGCCATATGACTTGATTATGTCATATGTGAAATTATAAACCTTTCAGGAAATGGGAGGTGGTGTGGACAGACCTCATGCAAAGGCTAAAGATCAGCTCGGATCGTTATTTAATAAAATCCGGAGTTGTTACTAGAAAGTCTAGCCATGTTAAAACAGTACAATTCATACACGTCATTGCTTCACTTTGTAATTGTGCACAAGAAGATCTGCTGTTAATATTCAAACAATCCTGGGCAGGTCTCTGTGCTGGGAAACATGCAGCCAAATATTCTAGTGCCAAAAATTTGTCCCAGCTTTTGATCAAAGGCCTATTACCCATTAATAATAACGCAGATGACTGATGCAGTTTAGGACATAATTTCACCTGAGACATCACAATAGTAAAAAAGAGTATAGTATACATTGCATTTTGAGATTTGTAAAATCAATAAAAAACTAAATACGAACTTACTGTAGAACAAATGTAAAAGCAATTAAGAAACTGCTGCTATGCGTCAATTCTACGTTTTCAAAGTACAGAACATATAAGTCTAGCAATGCATAGGGAAATGGTATTCAGCAAGCCATATTAAAATTGAGACATCAGAGGTAAAGATCTTAAGCAACTGCATATTAAAGCACAAATGCTAAGGTTTAAACTCATCAAGCTTTCAAAATAACACATCAAACCTCGGAGTCCGTAGTATGATATCCTTTCCAAAAATGGTGCTTCCTGATAAGTAAAAATCTTTTTGCAGAACTTTTATTTTCATTAAATAAAATACATTACATTGAATTACTTCATTGCATTTTGAATTACTCGATAACGGCCATCATAAAAATCACACTAAAATCTTTCTTTTTGGCTTCCTTAATATCACATTTAAAAAATCATTCACTTTTCTTCTCTAATATTACACACCAGTTCCCTTGATCATAGTAACTGGTCTGGATTGCAATGTTCTCCACTTCTCCACACAAGCTCTCCAACTCCTCTTCACAGAAGACGTGGTAATAGCGGTGAAAGATGGGGCAGATATCTGCAGATCCTAATGATTTTCCCACGTTTTTGTCCCTGGGAGCAGAGCTTTTCAGATGCCAGGGGACAAGCAGGTCCTGGGAATGGAACGCAGTTCTGTTGGTGTGAACGCTCAATGTTGACATGTTTTGCCGAGTCAAAGGACAATCTTTGACCTCCTTCCCAGCAGGCCTGTGGTTTGATGCCAAAGAGGTGCTGTGTCCTAGGTGGTCCGCTGTTTGCTCAGGTCTTTGCGCAGAGCCCTCTTCTTGATTCACCTTTTTCCCCTTCAAGTATTTGGACTTCTGCTTGTTATATTCCTGCTCCATTGCCCAAACATAAATAAGTGCCTTTCCCCCAGGCCTCAAAAGCCTCACAAGTTCTTTAATGGCAGCTAGTCTTCTCTCCTAAACATGAAACACAATTAGTAAGCTCAGTGAATAATTACATTTTTCTGCTCTGTTCTTTTTTAATAGCCAATACAAAGTAAGCCCAGGGGAGCCCTAGGTAGGGTAGGTACATTGCAGAATTGTTTAATGCAGAGTGAAGAGGTGGCAGTGTTCCACGCCCCAAACTCCAAAGTTCTCCCTAATACCTGTAACTGCAGTGGAGATTAGCCAGGTTGTATGGTTTTCCAGTGAGTATTCTAAAGCATTCTGTTGATTGAGTACTGAGTATTCTAAAATACTATAAGGTAACACCAAAACACTTTCGTGCTTCACAAGCCTGTCCATTTCAATGGCTTTAGAAGAAATAAACTTTAAAAACAGTGAATACATTTTTATTAACTTTAAATACCTTTTTATGTCTATCCTTTTATTCCAGAGACTAAAGCTGAAGTTAGATGTAACTTTTCTCTTCAGAAAAGGTGTGGTTTGGGAAAAGATTAGATACAGTAGGCAAACTAAGGCTTCGACTTGTTTTCTTCTTGAACTGTACTGAATATCTCCTACCTAATGAAAAAATGCAGCCTACTGCTTTATCTGAGATCCTCACTGATCTTCAGCTGTTTTTGTAGCACTCTCCTGCTAGCCTTTTTTCATCAAGTGAAATTTCCTATGAAAAGAATAACTAGGAGAACCATCCAGAGCCGTTGTGTCCTGCCTGCTCTAGGTAAGAAGAACCATGAGTGTCTGCTGACCTTAGTGGAGAAGTGGTGAATGACGGCGATGGAGATACAGGCATCACAAATGCCACTGCGAAGAGGCACCTCAAGAGCATCTGACACCAGGACCTGGAAGCTCCTCTCTCCGCAGATATCCACCAGGTTCCTGCTGCGATCACAGCCCACCTGCGAAAACACAGGAGGGGGGCAGCGGGGCATCAACAGCAGCAAGGGCCAGGAGCCATGTCAGAAAGGGATGAGCAGACTGCACCCACCCCGACACAACCAGGGCCATCTCAGTCCCCATCCAGACAGCCAGTAGCCTTTATAAAAACCACCACAAAGGGGTTTCTCAAAAAGCAGCATCACACTGCGTCCCAGAAGATTCGGATCGGATCCTGTCTGCAGCCACCTCTGTGACTCTTGAACAAACAGTGACATCCTTTGAAGGTCGCTGAAAACACACGTAATGTGTCTGTGTTATGCAGAGTTTAAGTCAAGGGGTGTTATTGTGGGCCTTTCTCCGTGAGCATATCATCTTTTTATATTTTGTGGCAGTATTTTTTATTTTGACACGTAAAGTATCTTATTTACGTTTTCCAAATGCGTTTTGAGGTAACATTTGAAATATTTAAAAATGTGTTATCTCATGCATAATTCAACAATGCACCAGTTACAAGCAAAGAAAAAAAAACATTTTGGGGCACTATGAGGAGTGTACACCTTTAAAAGGTAAAGGCAATGACAATAGCTATCCCCACACATTATTCTGGCTAATTTTTAATAAGACATGATTTACACCAATAAATCAATATCTGCTTTACTGCTTGAAAGACACAGTAAAAGGCAAATAAAAACAGAAATTTACAGAGGATGCCATGTTTGGTGCTCAAATATAAAAAAAACTTATAATTTACGATAATATTTTCTTTTAAAAAGTGTCTTCCACAGTTAGGGGTTCTTTTGCACAAAAATAAAGCCTGCAGCTTGCAACATTATCTTATCCAAACAGACGAAAGGTCAAAATTATCATGGAAAGACAATTATGAGCTATGAGCTAGGGCTTTGTCACTTACAGAAATTGTGTTACACATTTTGTTCGACCTATCCTAAAAAAATGCTTTCCTCCATAGTTGTATAACAAATACATCAAACAGTACCGTTTTTAACAGCCAGTACATCATACTTTCCTTTCCAATACAGATTTTAATATAATATGGAATTGAATCAAAAAGCAAAGTGTTATATAATACACTTGGTTTTCTGCATATAAACATGATCTTATCTAAAAGACAGAATACTTAGGACATATTCAAAGCTGTAATCTTTCATCTGTTTATCTTTTTTTTTTAAAGATGTGTACTTCAGGAGCCCACTGTCTCCCTATACCATAAGGGGACGAGCAAGGACACTGCAAATAATTTGGATTATCAGAACGTTAATACTAATCAATGTGCAGATTGTAACTTTTATGCACTTACAAATGCTACTTTATATTCTTTTCTAAATGAAGATGATAGTCTTTCAGCTCAGCTCGATGGTTTGTTCCAAACGAAACCTCACGAAGTAGTAATATATATGCTTTGGCGACAATGAGGAGAACAGAGCTGGGTCAACAACCCGTGAAATTCACTCAAATCATACAGCTCGTTAACACAGAGTAGAGGGGCTTTCCGTAAAGTATCATTAAAACTGCAGATCTACGGACTGTCTTACCGCAAACAGGTCCTGTTTTAACCCCAGGTACTTTCCATTCCCACAGCCTACGTCTGCCAGGATGGCGCCAGTGGGCAGAGACTGGAGGAAGTCTACCACCCTGGGCCAGGGGGAGTGCCGGGTGCTGCTGAAATGGCTGGCGATCTCCTCGTACACCTTGTGTACAAACTCGTTCTCCAGGCAGGAGGCGTCGCGGTCGCTCTGAGGGACAGAGGGGCTGCTGGGATCCCCAGGAGAGCTCTGACTGTCGCAGACCGAGGGGAAGGCTGCGCAACAAGACGCCAACAAATCAAAACATTCCGCGCCGTGCTCCAGTGTCAACACCCTGACTTACAAACAGAAGTAAAAGAGTATTGTAGAACACGTGTCGTATTTACATCTCTCCTTTTTGTCATTGCCAGCAGCCATATCACCCTGCAACTCACAACTGGAAACCCACTGAAGCTAAGCAGGCATAAGCCTGGTCAGTACCTGGAGGGGAGACCTCCTGGGAAAAACTAAGGTTGCTGCTGGAAGAGGTGTTACTGGGGCCAGCAGGGGGTGTTCAACTGGCGGTCTGTGTGGGTCCTAATGCCCCAGTATAGTGACGAGGACACTATACTGTAAACAGGTGCCGTCCTTCGGATGAGACGTAAAACCGAGGTCCTGACTCTCTGGTCATTAAAAATCCCAGGGTGTTTCTCGAAAAGAGTAGGGGTGTAACCCCGGCATCCTGGCCAAATTTCCCATTGGGCCTTACCAATCAAGGCCTCCTAATAATCCCCCTATGAATTGGCTTCATTACTCTGCTCTCCTCCCCACTAATAGCTGATGTGGGGTGAGCGTTCTGGCGCACTATGGCTGCCGTCGCATCATCCAGGTGGATACTGCACATTGGTCGTGGAGGGGATCCCTTTGAGTGGAGTGTCCAGAAAAGCACTATATAAGTGTAAGCAATTATTATTATTATTGTCATTTCTTCTCATACTGTACAATACTGTAAAAGGTTCTCCCATTTCAATTACCTATCTCCTATAACCATGAACACAGAGCGACAGAGGCAGGGGTAAAGTCTACATTTTTTTCGTAATACCCACCACAGTCGCACGGAGTCCTCCTCACTTTCCGGAATGTGAAGGAAGTCCTTGTCCCTCGTTTGTGGAGTGTTAAATCTCCAGAGTCACCACTGACGATGCTGGCCTTCTCTGCATCACCGACAGGAACCACATCAAATTTCCTGGGAGTGATTCTGTCAAAGCGTAAAACACTATAGTCCCTAAATTTGTATACCTCTTTGACCCAAGGCGGTTTTTTGTTTTCCCAACTGTAGGTAATAGTGCTCTAGCTGTGAACCAACATTTAAGTCCTGAAATTCACTGTTTGCTAATGTAAAAATAAAACAAAAAATAAACCTAAAATGAAAAATGGCATTAAAGCTTAAGCTCATTTTGTCTTACGTAATGACTAGAAGAGATTCTCAGATCAATTAGCTATTAACACCCAAGTGAGCCAGACACCTCTTACTTGCCAAATTCCTTTTAATGCCATTCTATCAATTCCAAGGCATGCAAAAATAATGTTAAGTGTTCTCTCTTACCCATGACTCCACAGGTAGCGACTCTCTCCTGTCATCACCAGGACACTCCTGGCAGGCAGCACCACTGAGATAGAACGCCCATCAGTGTGCTTAAAATCCATCACAGTCTACAGAAAGACACGTTGTAGGGAAGCTACAGGAAGTGCAGATTTTTTTTCTTTCATGGTTTCTCTGGCCATGTGCAGCTGTGATATTGCTTACAATTCGCAGGAACCACACAGCAAAACATGTCTTCCGCTTCCTCTGTCCTAGCCAAATCTCCCCCTGGCCTTTACCAATCATGGCCTCCCAAATAACTCTCATGTACAGTATGAACTAGCTTCATCACTCTAATAGCTAGGCACCACTCATAGCTAGCGTGTGGTGAGCGTACTGGAGCACTTTGACTGCTGTCACATCATCCATTAGTATCATCGTCATCATCACAACCACCAACTTTGCTTTTGTTAATCAGCAATTTCCTGCTGCTTTTAGTTCATTTTAGAACATACCACAACAGCTCCATGTTATCTGTAAGTTTCTGCTCAGGTTTGTAGAAAAGCTTGCATACTTTTAAAAGATAATGCAATGTACCATTATTAGATTTAAGAGTACATTTAATTAATTTTATTATGTATTAATTAATTATTTTTTAGATTACAACCCCCTTCATATTTTTATGTGAATTGTTATTTAGCCCACAACTGGACATGTCTAAATGTTTGTCCTTACATGCATGGAAGTTGTGATCTGTTATTTAAAATTGTGGATTTTGATGCATCTCCAAGCATGATATCCTGTTCTGCAAACTCTAACCATCTAGGAAATGTAAATTGAAGACTCGGTTTTCAGGACATTTTCAGCCTGTTCTACAGTAGGTGCAAATCTCATTCCTGATGTTATCACAGCTCAGTATTTCTTACCAAACAGACTAAAAAGGTCTAAATAGCTTCTTTCATTATGTTCTTTTGAACGTCTCAACTTTTACTTTTGAATTAGTAAGTTATCAGTTGCATAGGCAGGAACTCACTTTGTTTGTCAAGGCCTTGGCTACACACAAAATGTCTGCAAAACCTACTATCAGGGGATGCACACATTTAATTAAAGGGCCTCTTACTTCCAAAAGCACATTACAGTTGATATGTATGGTAATACTGAATTTATGTCCTCATACATAAAAATGTTGTGAAGCATTAAGCTGAAATGAATAACTTAAAATCATAACCAGAAATTCCTTTGCAAACAACTCAATATAAATTAGTTGAGAAACAATTAAAAATCTGTTTGATGCGTAAACTGTCATTGTGCTAAGGTTTTGTTGACGTAATTACATCATTACTAGCTACAGAACTCGGTTTCTTAATTAAAGAATGAGAGAAACTGCTCAATGTAATAGCAGATAGAAATAACTAGTCATTTGCCTTTGTAATTAAAATTTTGATCATGTTTCTTTGTCATTTACAAAGATGTTACACTTGTTATTCATTTTTGTTGATTAGTATTTAATGAGCATCAAAAGAAACATCAGTATGCACAATTTTAGAAATATAGGTCTTCAAGTCTACAGATTCTACATTTCGATAAAATGTTGAGGCTTCATTTTGATAATTCATGACTGGTCAGGATACACTCAAGAGACTTTGACTCACTCAAGAGACTGCATAAACACAAAAATCACCTGATTAATACATGAATTGATTGATGAGATGATTTAATAGATTGACTGTCAAACCTGGTGAAAATTAAGAAAAGAAATCTGATTTTGGTCCTCTTTTTCTAATCTAAAGAAGAGAAATTTTTAGGGGGATAAGATTAAAATTTGACCGATCTGGAACAAGTCTGAGGCTCTAGTAAATCTCATGCATCACAAAAATTTAGATTTTATTTTTACTAAATTCTCCTTTTGGGCAAAGTAAACTAAAAAGCTAAAATTTTACCCCCACAGTTTACTGTGTAAATTTGTTTTAGGACTGCCAACAATACAAATTAAGAGAAAAAAAGGAGAATGATGATGTGGAAAATCATTTTATACGTTTGAACGAAAATGCTTTTGCCCAAAGAAGGTCAAGCGAAGTCGAATTCCAATATGCCTTGAACACCACAAAGGGGAACAACCATCCATTCCAATCCTCTCAAGTTTTTCAAAGATTTAGTCATGTCTTTATTGCCATTAAGTTATCCTAGTTAGTGGATTCACACCATGTGGGCGGAGCGGCCTTTCTGAATGATACAATAGCAGAGGTTTATTTATCCTACTTTGATTAGTGGTAATATTATATAAATCCTGGTTATAAGCCTTTATAATGAGCTGCACAATATCAAAATTAATTGCAGCAAATGGCTGTGAATGAACTGCAGTAGGAAATATGTAGAATATAAGAATGTCAAGAAATCCACCCGTTGATAAGGAAATATTGGCTTTACTCTCCAGTTGTCTTCTATATGTTATCTTGGCACAGGAGATATCAGCACAAGAACACTCATGATGCAGATGGGTATGAAAAAGAAATAAATGAGGTATTAACATTTCTTAGCTGATCCCTCTAAGGTCTTACTCATTTTTTTTCCTTTACAGAGAAATAACCTTTTTAATTCCTGCATAAGTCCTTCAGCAGTCCAATTTGATAACTGATCTCTCAAATTATGGATGACAAGCTGTTCATAATGTGAATTATCCATGATTGTGAGGTGACCTATTTATTCTATTGGAGAAGGAAAAAAGGAACAAGGTAAATGTTTAATCAAAAGCTGCCCTGCAGTCATTCAGAGATTCATTGCATTTTACATGTGACAGAAAATTACTTGTTCACAAGGGAAGCGTATAGTTTCTACTTAGTCTAATTTGCACAAGTCCACAACTCTCTTAACTATGCTAAAATTAATACAACGAGAATACAGAAAGATGTCTCAATATCTCACATTTCAGTGTTTTCAAATCCTATGAGCATACCCATGACTGAGAAAGTTTCAGCTAATGCAACCTGTTTATTCTGGTATACAGTGTTTCACAGTGTGACAATTATGATTACTTCATTTCACTATGTGTGGTTTTTTAACGGATGGAAATTTCGGTCCCTATATTTTTAGCATTTTCTTAATGCTAATTAAAGAAATGGATATATAAAGTACCTGAGCACCCAAATATGTGATGAATAAAAGATGAGTGCCATCTTGGTTGTATGAATTTCCTTAACATAGTAGGTTATGTAGCCTCTACTCTAGCTTCATCCAAAAATTTCATGGTGAATTCCGACATACACACAGAGCAATGTTCAGTACTGGCAATCACTTGGTTTGAACAGTTTCCACAGTTCCCTGGGTTATAGAGAGACCATAAGTATACTGGACACATTTGAAATGGAAGACTAGTAGGCAAGGGTTATAGCCCTGCTGAAAGATGAATGAGGGGTGCCAAAATCATCTGTATTATTCTGTACTTGTCAGTACTGCTTCTCTAGGGATTTCCATGTGGAATCTCGAGAGAAAATTTATCTTGGGGAAATTCCAAACATGCTACCAGGTAATAGTATTCACTAAAAGGAGTTTAAGAGAACAGGTCAGAAGGAGCTTAGACACTCGCTACTCATAAGATCCAACACTCCTATATCAGGGTTGTCGGAAAAGTCAGACACCAAGTAAGTAAGCAGGCCATTTCTCGGTTATGGCACAGCATTCATGGCCAAATAAGGACCAGAGATAGTAGTCTAGGGCTCTGTTAGGATATCAATGTTCAGAGGAGGGAAACATCAGGACCCCTCAAGGGTTCCCAGTCAGAGATCGGGGATTAACGGGAACAAGTTGCAGTGGGCTCACACCCAGAGTTCTCACCCATCAGTGAGTCAGAAATAAGCTTGAAAAGATACCAAAAGAAAACTCCAAGTGGAGAGGCAGCAGCTGAGCGAGACTGTCCCTGTGAGAGAGTACCATACTGAAAATGTCCCATGAGGCATGTCCTTCGGCCTGTCAAACCACTCTACTAGGTTGTTTTCTCTACCACGTGGGAAGCAACTCTTTGAGAGAAAAGCAAGCAGAACTGACAGGAGGACGGGTCCCAGATGAATACAGAAGTTGGTGTATTCCCTGCACATTAGGACTGAGTCAAGGGACCTGGAGAGGGACCATAGCAACAACCAGGCCTTTTATTACAGCCGAGCCCCCGGAGAGCAGCTGACAGAGAGGAACACAGCGAGCTCATTTCTGACTCCATTAGTTCCCCACCCACCCAGGATGAAAAGAGAGTGACAGATTTTAGATCGCAGAAAGGATTATGAGACGGCGGGGGATCAACAGGAAAGTCCACGGAGGGACGCGATAAAGAGGAAATGCAAATCCCACCAAGAGCAAGAAAAGTAAGCAGCAACAACAGAGAGCAACCATAAGGAAAAGAATGAAGGAGAGTGAGAAGGTTAAATTCCACAGAACGAAGCTGACAGATGGAATATAGATGCCAGTCATAAACCCCTCAAGGAGGAACGGGTTGATCAATGATCCAGGAGGGAGTGAAGAGAACAGCAGGTATTCAAGAGATAGTCAGGGCTGCTGTGGGGACTAGAGAGAAACACCAGACTGGCCACAGGTCCAGCTCATGGGCCGAAGTCATTACAACATCACACCTGAGTGAGACGTTAAGGTTCAGTTGGTCAGGATGTACAGTCTCTAATAAAGCACCGAGTTCTCTAGAGGCATAAATAAAAGCCTAACCACAGGTCACTTAAACTGCAAGATAAAAATTCGAGCAGGCAGGCTTCCATGAGTCACATTATAGCAAATGAGTGAATTCCACCTCCAGGACAATGATGGTGACCTTGCTGCATAGCATACAAATGTTCTGTAAAGCCTGATGGAAAAAGTGAAACATATAAATCGGGACATTCACAAACTAATCTGTTTTTGAAGCTCTTCGTGTCACCTATTTCGATTTTCATGCACAAGAAACGACTCAAGTGTTTTTCTAATCGACCCCTATCTAGTTTGAATTCCATGCAGACTGCCAAGTTGACATTTTGTTTTTGTTCTAGTTTGCAATGTTCCTATTATTGCAAACCGGGGCTATGTTTTGCCTAAGTCGCTGCTCAGAGGGAAGATCTGGACAAAGTTCATCAGTAGCTCAGTAAATCACTGGACTGTAGTAAAGCTTGTCAGAGTCTGACATTTACTTTGAGAGAAATCACCTGCTATCCATCCAGTGAAGTAAGACTACTGAATGATTTGTGTCTAAAGCACTGTTTCAGGTTCCAGTAACTCTGTGAATTGTAATTAATCTGCCCTGCCAACAGTTCCTCATTAACAGTGAAGCAAAAAGAGTTAATTTAAAAATAACTCAATAAATGACCTGGAGAAAGTCTGAGGCTCTAATTGAAAATTGTAATAATGATTGGCGATTTATGGTTTACAATGCTTCAGACTGGTCTATTAACCATTATTAGATTATTTTAGAGTGATCAACAACTCAGACATTAAGTCAAGTCTTTAACTCATCGCAATACATAAACATTTTAGTAGATTTGGAAAGGGGCATGAGGTTTTCTGTGTACTATATCATCTTTCAAGAACTGGACGAAGAAAGTCTCCAAGCTCAAGCTATGAGTGGGAAGCTGATTTAAACATCTCTTTAATAAACAACAACAGTCTTTTAAGATCCTTAAGGATGTCAAAAGACTACCAAGAGAAATTAGAATGGGGCTTAAACAATTCAACAGATTTCATTGGTCCCCATCCAGACAAAACAGACTTAATCTAAAAGACTCAGAATGCAAAAAACACACATCTAAAGTTCAGTTGCTGCCATTAAAAGGATCATGCAGTTTAAATATACTAATAGAAAAAAGTAACAACATTTTCTGGAATGAGAATGCTATAGTTATAGCTTATGTATTTTCACAAAAAGTTGTTAATTTGTTTTCCATAATGCCTCGAATGTCACCAGAAGCAAGGGAGAGGGCCACTGGCAAGCTGCAGGCAGGCATGTCATGTGCCAGCATTGCCAGACACTAATGAGTAAGCCACTCCACTGTATCCCGACTGCAGAGAAGGTTTCAGCAGACTGGCAGGACAGATGGCCGTCCAAGATCCGGTTGCCCTCGACTGACCACACCAGAGCAGGACTGACACATCAGACTGGTCCATCTGAGAGATCGGTTCAGATCTGCCACCCGTACTGCTGCTGAAACTGCTGGCAGACACAATGCCCACATCAGTGACAGGACAGTGAGGCTCCATGCTGCTGGCCTTAGAGCAAGGCGACCTATCAGAGGCCCTCTGCTCACACCTCCTAGACATCACACCCAACTGACTTGGGCCAGACAGAGGCTGCGATGGGCTCGTCAGCATTGGCATCAGGTCCTCTCCACAGATGAGTCACTCTTCAGCCTGTTCCACGCAGATGGGAGGGCCATAGTGTGGAGGAGGGGGTGTTGCGTTTCTTTTTTCCATCATTATAGTCTCCACATCGCCTTTGGCTTTCATATTCTAAAGAATTTCTTCCTACTTTCTGGTTTAACTGCTCACAAATCCTGCGGATTCAGACTGCTATAATGCTATCAAAGAACCTGACAGAGAACATAAAGGTTTCGGTTCTCTCACTCATTAATGAGTGGTAATAGGTAATTTACTCTTATGAAGGGCTCTAGGATCAAATTAATTGACAGAGCTTAAATGTGTGACCAAAGATGGGCAAAATACCTTGATTATATCAACTATTTATGACAGAGTATAATGTATAACATAGTATAGCTGGTACTGTTCAGTTAGTATCTAGTATATTATAGTATAATAGTAGTATTACTAGTATAGTAGATAGAAGATTGTAGAAGAAGGTAAATCAAGATGAAGAACTAAACATTTTTGTGTATCCGAATATGACATTGATCAGATAATCCTGGTCTTTTCTAAAAAACCATCACACAGGCTCCAGCTTTAAATTTGATTTAGCGGCCTAATTAAATTCATTTAAATACCATCCTATACTACTGTACTGTATTTGCACTTAATACACAAGTCTTTCTAATAACAAAAGAGTTTAAAATGGTTTATGGCTTTAGAAGAACCCAGTTTTGCAAAAAAATGAAGAAATTCCTACATCCAATATAAGCAATAACTCATTTATAAACATATAGCTGATGCTTGTATCACAAGGGATTACTGCACACCAAAAACAAAAATAGCGTACCTTCGCTCCAAGACTTAATGAGATGATTGTATCTTCAAAGGCAGAATGAGTGTCAATGTGAGGTGGAATACCTGTCAAAAACAACAAAAAACAAATAAAAGCATATATTTAAAAAATATCACATTTTGCAGAACAATGTAACACTTAAGTCCATGTGTCTTCGTGTATGCACTGCATGTGATTTAATCTGGGATATAATATGCATATAACCTCCTCATGCTTTAGTAAAAACAAAGATCAGAAACCTGACACTGATTACAGCTAAACAATTCAAAATAAACCCAGAAATCATTATTCTTTTCCGCTCCTTAATAGTGGACATACTGAGATTGTAGACAATGAAAAGCTCTCTTCAGTACCGCAGAGTTCAGCTGTAATGCTGAGCAATCAGCACAGTAGGTTCCACTCTCTGATGAGAACATGATTGCAAAATGATTAGAAAGTCTAACTCATAACTCAAGCACAACAATAAAGTAATAATTGTTACAACACATGAAGCATATGTGTTGAAATAATCTCTGTAACTTTCTGTTCTGAATGATTTGTTAATTTCCTACACACAGCAATGATTAAAAATGGCTCTTTCAAACACCAACACACCCTGTATTCACTCTTATGAAGCAAACAAGAACAAATAAGGATCTGTCTTTTGACACATTCTCAAGCTCCTCATGCTGCAGAGAATATATGGTCCATTTCCAATAGAGATGCTGCAATACACTTGGAGTATCACCTTTCAGGTCTGCAGTATCCCAGCAAATCAAATGTTATCCATTTAATCACAAAGATGGAAGCTTCTTTTTTCCCAAAAAAATATTATTTTTAATAAAAAAACATTAATTAAGAGATGCTCATAATTAAAATTTCCATCATGGACTTCTATGGACATGGAAGATTTTGTGCTCTGAGGTTTTGCTTGTTTGAGGTGTAGAAGAAATTAAAATAGGCAGCTGCATCAGTATGTGTAAGCAGCAAAGGAACAGGTAAAGGTTAATTCCATGCTGAAAGTAAATAAAAGTGACAGCATTTCAGCTGTGGAGCCTTCTTCGGGTCTGTGAAGGTTGTAACACCTGAAAAAGGCTCCTTGAAACACCTGAAACATTTTGTGTCTCTGGGGTTCTGTGACTTTGGGTCTGTTTTTCCCTTTAAATGTGCCTTTGAAGAAATGTTGTTTTGTTACTGGAAAGTTGAAAATACAAATAAGTGCACCAAAAAAGGCACAACTGGCAGCCCACTGAAGCTCAGCAGGTGTGAGCCTGGCCAGCACCTGGATGGGAGACCTCCTGGGAAACCTAAAATTACTGCTGAAAGAAGTGGGACTAGTAGGGGGTGCTCACCCTGCACTCTATGTGGGTCCTGTTACCACCATATAGTGATGTGGACACTATATTGTAAAAAAGGCGCCGTCCTTCGGACAAAAAAATGTCCTGACTTTCCATGGTCATTAGAAATCTCAGGATGTTTCGTGAAAAGAGTACAGGTGTTACCCCAATCTCCTGAACAAAATTCCCCATGGCCTTTACCATAATAATCCCCATCTCAGAACTGGTTTCATCACTCTGTTCTCCTCCCCACTGATAGCTGGTATTTTATACAAAAGGTCTTTGCTGCCCTCTTGTGTTGAATCAGTGTTAGTGCACCACAGCCTACCTTGTCCTGGCTGGTACTGATTTACTGTGAGCTGGTCAGGTTTGACCTTTATGAGATTCTCTTTCAGACATCTGTCTAACACTTCATTGCAAAACATGGGCAGGCCTGAAAAACAAGCAGCACCACAAACATTCTATTTACAACAATGATGAGGTAGAAAAAACATTATAGAAACAACTAAAACTTTGTATTCAACCCAGTATCTGGCACTCAATTTAAATTCACCTGGATTTTTTAACTGTGAAATCAAATCACTGAATTATAGAAAATAATTCATACAAATGTACTTACCTCCAGGTAAAGGTTTGTTTTTGTCCACATTGTTGTTGTCATACCGAAATTCATAGCCATAGTGTTTTACTTGCCTATGTTTCAAAGCCTTCTGAGCTATAACAGCAAGAGAAAAGAAATTATTCCACACCAATCTAATATCCATTAGTACTAAATGAATTTAAAATGCGAGAAACTACTACATTTTCAGAAATGCTATAAATCAAGGCACAAAGGCCTGTTATGATTTTATTAACTTTTTGAAATCTACAATTTCTTAAATATTTCAAAACATTGAAGTTAAGGCACTACTAACCATTCAAATTCACTAGCAGAAACAGGTACACAAAAGAGGTATATTTAGATTTTGAAGTAACTGTTATGAAAGACTTTAGAAAGTGCTATGAACCTCTCACCAGTGTCTGTGTTGCTATGAGAACCCCAGTCAATGGCTCCCAGCAGTCTCATTTCCTCCTCAGGTGATAGAAACTCCTCCACCACCTTCAGACCAGGGGGCAGCTCCTGTCCTTGCCAAACCACACTTCCTACTGCAGAGAGAGACACTGGTGGGCTGAAGGAATGGTTGCATCCTTAAAGCATTTCCTGTGAAGTTACTGAGACCTTACTCATTGATGTTGTCACACATACTGTCGATTAAGGTTGCCTCCAATTAACCTTTGAGATTAAGATGATCTAAACACACGTCAGGATACAAAAGTGGCAAATCACTGAACAAAACGATCTTTTCATTATTAAACATCTCCAAGTCATCACTCAACATGCTGTTGCTGTAACAGGTTCTGTACTTTCCATCACTTTCCATGGGTAAAATATAAAATTGTTAAAAGTAGGACTGATTCTCTAAAAGTGGGCCTCAGGTTCTCTCAAATCTGTTAGTATGAAAAGAGCACTATAACTTCATTATAAGAACCTCACAAATAAAATAATTAAACATTCAGACATCCAAGGCTTGTGTTTATTGGAAAAATAACATTTTTCATAGTCCATTTCTAAAACTGTACACTGCAACAAGCATAGAATTAAGGACAATATTTTTTTGTTAAATTCCAGCTTTAGACTGTCCCTCAATCAATGCCTGTCTGCATTATTTTCTATACTGTAACAGCCTTACTGCCCCTGTGTTCAGAAACCGCCCTACCTAGCGCTCAAAAAACAATTCCTTGGAAAAAGCTTCCTTCTTTTCAGTAACACGGGATACCCTGAAACCAAACCCTCTTAATAAATAACACTGCAGGGCAGCCCACATTTCGACTTATCTTCCCTTTGCCCTACAAACCAAGCCTGAGCTGGCTTTTTACCCCGACATTTCCCCTGACTGTCAGAGATGTACCTGTAACTGAATTTTCCGCAATCTTGCCACAGCTACTTTCCAAAATAACAAATAAAAAACAAACAAACAAACAAACAAACAAACAAACAAACAAACATCTCGGCTCACCTTCCTCTACAAAGTTTAAGTACAGGGTGACTTGCTGGTGCTCCGTATCGAGCTGTCTGCCATTGAGGGTTTTGTGCGCCAGCTGAGCAGCATCTACGGACTGGTAAGTTACAAAGGCATAGGGCTTGTTTGGTGGCATGAGTACTGCCCTGAGTGAGCCACACTGTTCTAGCACCTCTAGCAGTTGCTCTCTGCTCACCCCATTGCCAAGCCCACCGTTAGCTACCACCAGGCTCTGAAACAAGAGAAATCACAATCGTTTTCCCTTCACTTGCCTTTCTTTCGTCCTACATTGTCGGGCCCCGGGCAAAGCGACTACGCACGTTTGATGTTTCATTACTGTTTTTCAATCATTTGATCATCAAGGCATGAAAACGCCAAATGCTTAAGGTTTTAAAAACAATGCTCTCTTAAACACGTGGTTGTTAATTGCACAGAAAGAGTACTAATAGAGTGACTATTCGTTTACCTATTCGCCTTCTTTTTAGGCTTGGGCTAATTTGAGTTTTAAATCGATTTCGGGGAAGAAACAAAGATACTCCATTCGGTTGGCGTTACGATTTGATCAAACTGTCACTGATGAATAACAGCGTACGTAATAAGCAACGAAACCTGCTAATGACAGCATCATTAAGCGCAATACAATTTACATTTTTAAGTGACATACATATCCGTGACATACATACAATATAAACATTTTTATATAAATTATAAAAACATCTTTAAGGTTCTGTATCTTAAACATAAGATCGGTGTACTACAAGTGCTTTATTTCAACAAAAATAGTGTCACCTTTGTTGGTATCAACACTGTGTCAATGCCTTCATGTTTTAGTAATGTATGGCTCGCTTTTAATTGCTTCCTTAAAAGTTTTTTCTCCTCTTTAGTCTTTTTCTGTAGTTTCACGCCTTCTTCCAAGCATGTCTCCATGGTGCCACAATGAACTGAACACTGAACGAAACAGAAGAAAAGAAAATGGTTCCTAGCGGCAGTTAAAGCCATCGCTGGAAGGATTAATAACAAAACTGACAGCAGTCAGTTTTGCCGTGCTTTTTGTTTATGTATTAAAATAATTATATTGCTCTTAATAGTAAACATAAGTTTGGTAGAACTTTAACATGTTAAACTAATCAATACATGATGTGTGCATGTCTCAAACAGAAAGTTGCTGTACATGAGACATACACACATCCTGTACACATCAGTGATTTGAGACCACTCTGAATTGTTCTTGTCCTTGACTACGAGTTCTTACTGCTTTTTTAAGTCAAGGACAGCCATCAGTAAGGGTTTGCATGCCAAATGTGGTAAAACCAAACACCTGTTGTCTTACTCTCTGATCTTTCTGCACAAGCCTTCTATATTAATGGTTTTAACATTCTGGATGTGTTCCCGGAAAGTTTCTCATTGGTCTCATTGGTCTAACAAATAGATACTAAACTCCCTCTCTCCCAGATTGCCTGCCGAAAAAGAGGAAACCCTTAAAAGTGTTCTCTAAATTCTTTCACAGTCTGCTTTTATTGCACAGTAAAGTTTCTGAACATGTTTATGACATATTCCACTAACAGCGGGGGTTAGTACCCAAGAAGGTGTGTACTGTCTGCATAAAATATAACATTGTTTTTACTTTTGTATACTGGGTTCAATCTGAAGCACTTAATGGTACATATTGTGACTTTAGGGCCATAGGAGCCCCTCAAAGATCGGTAATTTCTCCAGTAGTGTCCAAATTATATACAAAAACTTTATAACATAACATCACTTTATTAGCCCTATACAATTTCTTGCATTAGGAATTACTCTTTTCATATACCCCAGCTTGCTCTTCATGAAACACAAACAGGGAGAGAGAAGCTTGGGGTCAGAGCATAGGGTCAGCCATTATACAGCACCCCTGAAGGAGTTGGGGTTAAGGGCCTTGCTCAGGGGCCCAACAGAGTAGGATTCCTCTGCCAGCTAAGGGATTTGAACCGGCAATTTTCCAGCCACAGGCACAGATCCTTAGCCACAGAGCCACCACTCCACCTACATTATTGGAATACTAGTGCTGAAAATCTTTTCATAAAATACCCTGATGGCACAGTTTCTGTGGACACATGAAACAGTGGCATTTCAAAGGGAAATTGATGTCTTTGCAGAATAGTGTCCCTTTAAGTTCATTCTTCTACTTAAATGTGGAAAAGACTCTGGTAAAGTTAATAACTGAGAATTTATGGTCAGCAGGTTGAAAGAGAAGAGGGGTATAAATATGTGGGCACTGTCACAGAACTGTAATTTGATCTAAAAAGTACATTGTTGTTGTGACAGGTGAACATTTATCAGTCACTGCAAGCCTTTTTTATTGGTACCTTCATCTAAATCAGATTTACCTTTGGTATTGTAGCCTGGCTTCAGGGCATCAATCCTGTGAAACAACCCAAATCAAATAATCATGAATTGAAATAGTAAGACTATCGAACTTGAAAAGAAAATATGGAAGAATTTCCTTTAGAAACACTTTTGGGAGAAAGAAAGGTAGATTGTTTCCACTCCCACTACAGTACAGCTGGCTTCCCGCTGTGTGGCGATTTTAATCACCGAAAGCTTTGTTCATTCTTGTAAGGCTGATGAACTCTTAAGGTTCACGTAAATTTTAAATATGAGTCTCATATCTGTATTAGTAATGCAACCACAACTGAAGTTCCCTTAAGTGTAAATAAAAAAGAGACTTGCCTTGCTGTCCAGCACACTGCTAGGTATTTATCACCTTTTTGGTATTTATTTATGTTAACGTGGAAGGCTTGGGGAGGGCAGTGAGTTAGCTGGTGTCAATGTGAAAACAGAGATCAACTTTAGTTTCAGCACCTTAGATCAATCATCAAGAGCAAAGAAGAATTTAGCCTATGGCGGCAAGCTTTAAGCTGTATGTCTGAGGGGAATCAATTAGACTATATCCAACCTCTGCATTCTGCACTCATCCCTGTCTGTTATAGTCTGCTGATTGTTTGAGGGCTTTTTTTCGTGATATTGTATGACTGGCTGCTGAACCAGGATCAAACGACGCGGCACAGTGTTTAATAACAAATTTTGAAAACCACCTGTCCAGCAATGTCAAGTGGCTTAGTTGACACATTGTTGGCCTGCCCTCTCTGTCTGGAAACTTATCACGGCCAAGACCAACAGCGCACATGACTGACCCGTGGAAGCTAGTTTAACGTTAAAAATACGTCTTCCCTTAAACCTCCGTCATACAACACGACACCTTTGTGAGCAGCAATTAAATTTGCCATTTCCTTTTATAAACAGAAAGTGACCAATTAGAGGCATTGAGCCAGCAAAGGTTAAAGCTGACAGAGCTGACAGAATAAGATCAATATCCAGTGCAGCTGGGACAGACACTTTAGTTTAAACCCTTAGTTTTTACCATAACTGACAAACCTGCACCCTCCAGTGGCGCTGTAACTGAAGGCACCTGTTCGAAATGTCTGTAATTTTCCATGGCCTCCTTCATCCCGGTTGGGATTTTTCAACTGTAAGGTGTATCATTGCAGTATGCATTCAAAGCTCTGTTATTTCAACCTTGTAGCCAAGGCAGATCTACACTGGAATCTCTATATTTTAATCGCATGAAACAGAATGCTCCTGAGAAATCTGACCTGTTTTTTAAATAGCACTGATTGCTTATATTGTGCCCTCTAGAATCATCACTAAGAATGAAAAGCATGAGGAAATTTTTTAACCTGCAATCCCTTTAACAAGACCCCACTTCCAGCAGACAGGAGATGAGTTATATGTTTTAGACCTTTACACAAAGTCCTTCTACTGGCACTGATGCTTTATCCTAACATTAATCATTTTCAGGCCTTCCTGTACACTCATTTTGATGAATTGCAATAAACACAGCATCTTGTGTACAGCATATATGGTAAGGGTGAGGTTATTAGATTTACAGCAAGATATGCGATACAACATGACGTCTGGTTCTCTGTTCATTTGATGACCATCTGGTACTCTATTCAGTTTTCTACATGTTAGGGTCCAAAATGCAGGTGTTTGTGACCCAGAAGTTAAACTACTGCATCCAACTGGTGAAATTAAAACCTTAAATATAAAATGCAACTTGTTTTTCATACATTGAAATCACTAAGGCAAAGAACAAACGGCCAAACTTGTACAGAACTACAGTTTTGTGAAATTGTCGTACTTGATAGCATATCATTGATTTATACAATCCATTATGAAATCCTACTAAAGTGTTTCTATTAATTATAGTTAACCAATATTAACTTACTTTAACCATTTAAGAAAGCTGGGCTCTGTAGAACATTTGGATGAGGGAGGAAAGACAAAAAATAGGGTCTAAGTAGACGTGCCTTATAAGAATCTTTGATATGGAATAATCTAGCAATGTCTATTTTGAGTAATAGCTGAGCAATACTAGTGTTCACAGCTGTTAAAGGTGGCAAATAGCCTGGAAGGACTCGGTTGCAGGCAAGGTTTTGCAAGGAGGTCATATTGCAAGGATTCTAGAAAACATCCTTATATTTCAGCTTGTTAAATGCAAATATATACAGCTAATTTGACACAGAACATAAATGTTCACCATATGGAATGTTTACCATAAGATGAAGATTAATACAGGAAACATTTCTGCACTCTGATGATCTACTTTGTTGGCTTTCATTCAGCAAACAGAAACAGCACTGAAGTTGCAAGGGTGCATCGAATTTTGCTTCCACACTGGTTCCTAAAGCAGAGCTCTTGTCTGCCTATCCAAAGAGGTGCTTAAAGATCTGGGACACTAAGACCCCACCTCTGCATTTTGCATTTTCTTGTTGAACACACACAAAACATCTGAGCTGCAATACCTTCAACATAATGGCAGAAGGTTATATGACCTGTCACTTTGAACTCATATTTTGGTTAAAATCGTGACCTGAGTCACTCCAGTCACTCAAGGAGTGGGATCTACCGAAAAAGAAATGAAAAACCACGTACTTCTTTCTTTTCTTTGTAGCAAGAACCTAATTTGTTCTTTGGTAGGAGTGTTAAAATGTGAGTGTCAATAGTGACTCATATAGCAGTTCAGTTGAAGCACTGTACCCTAGAAATGTGTCCAAGAATACTAGAAAATAATATGGACAAATTCATATTGTACAATATGTCAACATTTGAGGAAAATATGAGGAAAACAGGCTCATACTGTATCAGCTCCAGTCTCATGCCACACTGGATGTTTATTCCCATATGAAATTTAGGATAGTGAATGTAGCTTTATATTTAGAACAGAGTGGCTACAGTATGTGAGGTATGAAGCAGTGACTGCTGTGGGAATTTAGGAGAAGGTTAGAGTGTAGCCCTTCTCAAGAATTGTTAAGAAACACAATAGTAACTGAGCAGGAAATAATCGTAAAGAGGGAGGATACAGTGATATCTAGGAAATAAAATGTATAAAAGGCAATTCAATTTTCACTGATCTAACAACACTGATCCAACTGCTCTCTTTCCACTACTACAGCATAGCAGATAACTGAGCCCATAGTTGTTCAAGTTTTACAGCCCTATAGAAAACTGTCCCACTGTTCAATAAGATTTGGCATGAGTGTGCAAAATGTCTTCTATACACAAAATGACAAAACAATGGTATGGGCTAACATTTTAAATGTTCTCCATATTTTTAATTTGTAAACTGTGGTTATTAGGAGAATATAATCATAACGCATAATGATTTCTGTATTGCAGGTATCTTATTTAGGCTTTTATTTGAAAATATCCCAACCATATGTGATCACCCCCACTCCATTTAGTCCTCATAAACACTCTTAGATGTTGACTAGATGATTGTATTAGCAATGGAATGAATATTGTAGTGATACCAGGAAATACTGGGCTCCCAACCTCCTATATAATTACCAGGTTTGGACAATATTAAATATGTATAGTTCTGATTTTCTGCCCCTAAAAAAGCCACTTCAATGGTAGTGCTTGAAAATTGATCTACACTCGGCATATTCATTTCTGGACATCAAACAGCTGTATTTTAGATCATACATTAATCACATAATAACTAAATACATTAGAATATTAACTAAATATATTATCCACAAAGACATTCTTCTTTTGAAGAGCAGAATGAAAGGAAGAAAACACATTGCCCGCTGCAACGTTTAACATTTCCGTCTCCTCTCTGGTGTATCCTGCTTCGTGGTAAGTGCCAGGATAAAAGTTTCACTTTTCATTACACCTTCATCCTTCAGTCGAAACAGAAGGACCTGGAAAAGGCTCATCCGGTATCTACAGTATCCTCCATCTGGAGTAACTGTGCTCACAATTTAATTCAATGGAATTTAATGGAATCAAGGCACAAAACAGAGAATAGGTCTTTATGTCTTCTTGTGGTGCACTCCTTAGATACTGTACATTTATAAATTAGAGTATTCTCCCCCATATCCACCACTTGTCCACTTGCCGTATTAAATCAATTTTCCAGGTACTCAGGACAACCGTGCCACTCTGTTGCTTCGTACAAGATGCTGTCGATCCGGATGTCATGAAGTGCATTACTTTCACCACTGTCCACTGGGCAGCTTCCATCTATCACAACTGGACAAATGTTCAGTCTCCCTGCTAATGAGGTCAGAGTCATCATATCCCAGTGCTTGCATCAGAATCGACGTCCAGGATCAAGCATGGTTGTGTCTGGAATACAGTAATTAGCCTAGCATGCAGCCATTATCTTCAGCAGTTAATTTGTATCGTTGATAAAATGTGTCTATCCTGTTTCTGCTGGTAAATCAGGTAAATGCAAACTTTGAAAAAATGCTAAAAATACAGTGAGTTTTGGCAAATAATTGTACTTGTTATTTTCACTTAGAATTATTCTGCAATTGAAGATTCGCCATTGTGTAAATACAGCACATTGCCCAGAAACATGTATATGGTAACCACTGATTCAGAAAAGCAAAGAAAGATATCTGAGAAAAACAACGTAAAGCTTAGTAAGTGGTTAGAAGCAAGAATTGCTTAAATATTAAAGTCAGTCATGGTTTAGTCAAACATAATGCATTGCAGTGAGTGCTAATAGTATCAAAAACCACTATAAACACTAGAAAACTCCAATGTGATGTTTGTGAATGTTATAGTACCTATAGTTTTATAGAAAACATTGAACTATAAAACGTAACATATAATATTGTACAGGATAGACTAAGGCGTATTATATTATTGATAGAGTTGATTTGACTTAATCTACATCATCAAAAGAAATAAGTTCCCCAAGGGGCTAAAATTCCAATAAATACAAACTCAATATCCAAAATCCCCCGAAAAATCCCCTCACAGAAATCCTTGGCTTGCTTTGTTGTCTGCAAACAGGACTTTAAATACTTACTCTGTGACATCACTGCTTTTGTTGCCAAATTATTTGGTGATCCCCTCCCTCGGAGTACTTTAGAGGAGACTCAGTCACTCCCAGCCCAGATGGACCTGGAGGATAAGGCACCAGCCAGCAGAACAGTGAGCCCCAGAGAAACCCTGGAACTGTAACTGGTTTTGTTGGAAAACTGCTCAATACCTGAACCAGGTAAGAAGGTGCTGACATGAGACAGAGGCTATTTCAATTGCCACGCAAACCTGTGTAGATTCCATCATTAAACTGGAAAGAGGATACTCACCTTTCATTACAGGTATAAAGTCATATGTGGAAAAGTAATAGCTTCAGAAAAGCTGAAGGAATGTGTTGTTTTTTTTATTTATTCTTATTTCATTCTTATTTTAGAACATTGTATAATTTGTTAAATCCTTTTTACATCCACACTCAGTTCTTATAAAAAAAAAGGCATGGGCCAAAATAATTTCAGAACGTCAGCATTCTGAAATTTTTTCAGTGTTCAGGGATTTCAGTGTTGTTTAATACATCTAGGAAATAATATGCATCCTTTTCAAGACCTGACACAGCTTTTGGTACAACAAAGTAGCAACAGTAATGTTAGCATTAATGTAATGTTTTCAGCAAAAAACTGTAAAATGAGAGGCGTGAAAGAAATCAGTAAAGCACCATCAAAACAGCCATGATGATGGGCATATTTAGTGACAAGTGGCTATGAAACAATGAAATACCAGTATCCAGTTCACAATGTTGGGATGCTGTGTACGTGCTGTCACTTTGTAGTCTGTGGAATATAAGAGGACATCACACGCACCAAGAATCTATCAGAGCAGTAATTTTGGTTATATTGAAACGTGATCTTTTTTCACATGTGTCCTCTAGACTGTCAAAGAATCATCTGGAGCGTGGCAGCTTCCAAACTTATGAAAGACGAGCAGCTTTGCAAATTGGCCAGAGCTGGTGCATGGGTTTGGGGTGCCTTTTAAATCTCTCTGTAAATCTATGTACACAATCTATTTTTAGAGTGAGCAATCATAGCCGCTTGATAGGGTGACAAGCTGCAAAGTAATCAAGTGGTCCCTATGGGATGGTGAGGATTTGTGTTTCCCTGGTGAAACGCAAAACATTTCTCAGCAAGAAAAGGCGCTGAATCTTAAACACTTGCCCTTGCGATCAGCTTTCTGTAACATCCACATACATTTAACCAAAGCTCAAAAAAGTTAAGAACACTGTGACAGAAAGACTACACAGTTTTTAACTGAGTAGCACTACTATAACTAGTAGTAACTAGTTCTGCAATTTCCCTCACAGGATCAATAAAGTATCTGTCTATCTCGTAAAATTTAATATTGAAGTTCCGTAACACAATTTCCAGTGGTACAAACACGGGATATGAAGGTTCTGCATTTATATTTGTTGTAGATGATGTGATAACACAGAAGATTTCATTTGATATCCCCAGTTGATCTGCTATAGAACAACAGGCAATGTTAATGCAGTGAGGCAAAAGACAGTGGAATAGAATGCATTATAAATATAGCTCTTAGATTAACTTACAGTGACAGAGCCATGGTAAAATTTGCACTCAGGATGCCTCAGGATCCTCAGGATTCTGGAATGTGACGGTTATTTTTTCCTTCCCGTCGGAACCCAGCCTTGGGAGCAGAAGGTGTGTGGCTCTTCCTGCTGCGACTGACTCCAGCGTCTCGAACTGAGCCTTTGGCACAGATCTCCCCTCCAAAGCCCTCGTCCTCAGGCCGGAGCAGAATGGATCGCTCAGTGCAGGAGCTCTTCCTGAACTTCATGATTGTCTTAATCACTGTGTTACTCATGTGGCTCCTTGTCAAATCCTACCAGGAGTGAGACATGTCCTGTGCAGCCAGGCTTCTCTTTCCAGAGGCACCTTTTATAGTCCCAACAATGGAGAAAAGTAGTGTTAAATATGCTGAGCCCCCATACCAGCTTGCCTCTGGATAAAGGGCTGATTAAGCTTTGGCATGTGCTCTTGCATTCATTACTGTAACCATCCTGCCCATAAGAAGCTTGTGAGTACAATTGTCTGGCCTTTAAAAGCAGTGACGTAATAGTGATAATCTACGGAAATATAAACTGGATCAGGTGTTCTTTAATCTGTGTACCTCCTATTTCATTTTCGCTGCTGCTGTGTATGCATTAGTGAACAGTTCAGCAAAAAAAAAATGTTTTGAGCTGTGTTGCAAAGTCTTTTTTTTTTACATCTGTTCTTGTATAACATTTCCAGTACTACAAGAGCAACTTCTTGAGTGAAAGCAGCTGCTGACAACTGAAATCCTTAGTAATGTTCTTTCAGTGCATTTGGATTTGTGCCTGATTATTCTTACAAGCAAAGATGTACTAGAAATGTGAAACCTCTGTGTACATTTCCGTTTACACTTTGTATAATAAAAAGGCTTCAGTCAGACTGTCTTTGTTTTGTATCAATGTCAATGAAGATTCAACAGTATTTTCCAATTATTTCTATTTCCATTAGGCAAACACCCAATTTACAGCATCCAGGTCATATTTCACAGCCACACCATGGGGAAAATCATGAGATATCAATAGGAATCACAGCCCATCCCACTTTGAGCCTTTCATCTTTAAAAGAGACCCCTTCAGGATGTTTAGTTCATATTGCAACACAGTGGGAGTCCTTTAAGACTGGGGTGGTCACCATTTCCATGAAGTCCAAGAGATCACTGGTCAACGACCTGTAACTCTGCCAACTGTGAACAGCTGCTTGGTTAATTCTACACCTGTCACAGTCCACCAGTGACATGACCAACCCCTGACACCTGGGCAACAGTGTATCACCTCAGATGAACTCTCAGGAGCACAAATTTGCAGAACATTATTTTGTTATAAACATTCTCTCATCCTAACTCTTTGAACTGACGTTGCCATTAAATGCAACTGAGAATACTCCAACTGGCGCGTCGCTCTGCCTGCCATCAGAGGGGGTGGGGGGGTGGGAGGATAACTCAGTTATGTAGCCAATTCATGGAGGGGGATTATTAGGAGCCAATGGGAAATTTGGCCAGGATGCCGGGGTTACACCCCTACTCTTTTCAAGAAACACCCTGGGATTTTTAACGACCACAGAGAGTCAGGACCTCGGTTTTACGTCTCATCCGAGAGACAGCGCTTGTTTACAGTATAGTGTCCCCGTCACTATACTGGGGCATTAGAACCCACATGGACTGCAGGGTGAGCGCCCCCTGCTGGCCTCACTAACACCTCTTCCAGCAGCAACCTTAGTTTTTCCCAGGAGGTCTCCTATCCAGGTACTGACCAGGCTCACACCTGCTTAGCTTCAGTGGATTGCCAATTGTAAGTTGCAGGGTGACATGGCTGCTGGCATTTTGTTATAAACATTAAGGTGTTGAATTTCTCTTTTTCCAATTGAACGTTTCTACATTATATAAAATTCCAGAATCTTAGCTTCATTTGTACAGACAAAAGAACAGACTTTATTTGTACAAAGGAAGAATTCCCAATACTTGGCCAGTAGTTCAATAAGCAGATGACTAGAACTGGTCTACTGGAGATCACATCTTTCAGTGTTTACATTAGAGAATGATTCTGTTCAATTCTTAAAGGGTTCCCACAGTTCTAGTTATGACCAGAAGAGGGTGATAAAGTTGCATAACCTATTGCTCCTTAAATTTATATTTTTCAACTTTAACATATTTATTGAGAGCTTATCACACAGTTAGTATGACAGGATCACAGGAACAATATTGAAAAACCTTCCTTACAGACTTCAGTGTTGTGTTTTTACATATCACTGCAAACCCAGGGTGAAATTGAAGACCAGCGGTACTCAGGGTAGCTTTGCTTGGTGTGTAGCAGTGACTACCAGCCTTTCAAATTAAAACCCAAAGACAAATAATATATCCTTCAGCTTCGAGGCTACTTTATTAAGATAGAGTTAGGTAACATGGATAACTTACATAGCCTTAATCATACAGTATATGTGTACAATATTTACTCATTCTTCACTTTTCATGCATTAGAATATAATTGAATAAATATACACTGATTTGAGCATCAGTGTCTCACCATTTGATTTTGTTCTGAACATATAAAGCAAAAAAGTTCTGAATGGCATAATTCATTGTAAAGCAGCATAACATCTGAATCAATATAAACACATTTGTACAAAAATGAAATGGAAGAGACATTTTGCCTTCTTACAAATCCTCTATTAACACAGAAAATTGAATTCTAAAAATATAATGAGAGTTTTGAAAGTGGTAGTCCACTGAGTAACATCACTACTACAATGATGGATAAAATATTGCTTTTTTCCCCCTCAGAATCCTGTTTATATTGTCTTTAGGCAAAATCAGCATTGATAGTTACAAAAAGTATACAGTGTGACTCATGGTGTTTTTCATGTCTGTAAAGGGATGTCAGATGCTCTACTGCCTGCTGCATGACAAATGTACATGAATCACAAGTTTTACCATTCTCAGAAAGCACATCTCATGCGCAGGCCCGACTAAATCCCTAAATCAGGAAAGGAAAGCCAGTTTGATGATGTATGAGATGGCAGGACTGCGGAGTTCACAATACTTACTCCATTCACAAAACCACTCTGACCGTGACTATAAACACAAGCATCACCATGACTACAGCTGAGTTTCCTTAAACATACCAAACCCTTTTCATTGCTCACTGATGCACTGAAAAGCCATGCACAATAGTAAAGTTTTCTTGTTTTTTCTTATTACCCTAGTATTCAGCTGTTACAGAGCAAGGATGATCACATACCAGGGCTTTAGAAGGAAAAAAACTCACACCTATTTGCCAAACTTCATTTTTGTTACCTCACATTGAAATATACTATCTAATATACATACTGTTGTACATAATATAATGTTTCTTTGTATGATACACATTTTATGTGGTTTATTAAGGCAGTATAAAAAAGTATATATTTGAATGTACGAGAGACTGCTAGGATAAACAGGCAAAATCTAACTGATAATGTGAAAGGGCATGATCAGGTTTGTATTCTGTGTGTCTGGTACATGTAAAGTTGTATGAAAAATATTAAATGACATTTGTAAGGGCCCGTGTAGCATTAATAGATTATGTTGAGTTTTTACAGTACATCTTGTATAAAAATGTAGTTTAAAAGTAATCTTAAAAATCATTGTTATTAATAATAAGCACACCACGAAGAAAGATCAAATCAAGAAACAGTACTCCATACATATTTTCAGGGAAAGAAGCAGGAATTACATTATTTGAATGGTATCAAAGAAGAGAAAGGAAGTAGTCTCACACAGAAGTGTAACAGCAGCTGTTTCTTTTATTTGCCAGTATTTGATTGTTCATGCTTCCTGTCGTGTCCTGATCTGGAAATTGAAAGTGTATCTGGGAAAATGAAGAAAGTCGTGAACTAAAGGCCATTTCATTGACTAAGTAGGCACTGTCTCATTATTACAGCCACCGAGCAGTCAGAACATATGAAACTAGGAGCAGGAGGTGATTTAGACCATAACATTAAACACATCAGCTTTAGTATTTTTAGAAAGAACTTCATACAACAATAGTTCAGATAAATACACGACCACTCTACATCTACAATATCATGTATATATCTGGATCTTTCGTCTTCATGCTTTATGCTGTCTTTTTGAACTTGAACAAAGATTTCTTCATTCTCAAATTATTAAGGATAATGGCCTAAAGCTTTGCACAAAAACTGAGCTTTGGCACTCATAAAGTGTTTTTTTTTGACAATGTTGTAACCTACAAACTGAAATGTCGACAGGATCGAAACCTTGCCCTGGCTGGGTCCTTGTTTGTGATTGTTCGGGCATATTCAGTGACAGCTGTGCTATGTATGAAACAGGGCCAACCTATAGAGAAAGACATACTGTAGAACGAAGCCATTCATTTTCAAAGGATACAGTCACCCCTGGATATGATTAGCTTCCCACCACAGTGTGTTCATGGGTCTGCCTTCCACGGGTCTCTGTAACGGTTGAATCGCATCACCTGGCAATGGAATTCTGTCAAGGCTCTTGGCATGGGAGAAACCTCCTCCCATTCGGATCTGTTGCTGTGGTAGACCTGCACTTCATCTGTTATTTCGTCCGGAGCGTAGTCTCCACCCAGTATGTAGATTTTGTCTGCAATGCCAATAGCTCCTGCATTGAATCCCGCACACTCAAAAGAGCCTTCGCCCTTCCACACACAGGTTTCGGGGCAGAAGCTGTACACCTTGTAAGTGGACAAATCACAGATGTACAGAGTATTGTTGACTGGCACTGCTTTGACCAAGGTGGCATGAAAGAACTGACCAAATTCAGCAACCAGTTCTGACCACTGGTTGACCTGAGCGTCATACCTGAAGAAACAGTCTAGCGACGGGTTGAAAATGTCAGCTATTTCTACTTCGGACCCCAAAGTGTAGATGACATTATTGCAGGCGCTGGCTTCAGGATAGTAAATACCTCTGGGCAGAGGACTCACTGAGTTCCAGTCTTTTGTGAGGGGGTTGTAATACTCCACATCCAGCAGGCTTCTGATATTCCTGGCCCCTCTTGTCTTTCCCCCGATGACGTAGACCCGGTTCAGGGCTCTGACGGACGTATGCATAGTTCGTGGACTCTTCATCGGGGGTATCAAGAAAAAGTGGTTCTGAACTGGACAGTAGCACCAGGTCTCATCTGTGGCATCATGGAAGGGCTCGGCAATGTGCAGTCTCACGGCCCTGCAGCAGTTTCCTTTGCAACCCCCCGTTACAAAGAGCTTTTCCCCAAAGCTAGCCAAGCTGGAGCCAGACATGTCCACGAGGTTGGAATGAGGAAGCTCTTTCCAGCGGTCAGTTTCGATGTTGTAGCAGAAGGCGTGGCGAATCTCCCCATTCTCTTCCGTCTTGTGGACATAGATGTACTTCTCCGTGGTAGAAGGACGAGCATCAGGAAAAAAGCCACTGAGATCCTGGAGGCTAACAATAACCTCTCTAATGATCTGAAGGCAGTCCCCATTGCTTGACAACAGGCTCTCTGATTTAGAAATTTCCTCCAGGACTCCCCTGGGTAACTGATGCAGTCGAACCAGTTTGATTAAATGGGGAAAGAATTTTTGTCTGTTTTCCAAACTGTGCTTTGTCCACAAAAGTACTGCGTTCAGGACAGCTTCCTCATCTGGGACATTGAGCTCATCTGCTTCCAGGCATTTCTTGAAGACGTTGACATTCATCTCCAGGAAGTCGGCGGACTTCGTCAGGGTGTGAAAGTGCTGGACCACAAACTCCAGCGTGCGTTCGTACAGCCGAGTGGATCCGTACCCTTCTGACAGAGACAGCAGCTGCAAGCAGTTCAACAGGTCGATGGTTTTGATAAGATAATCACTGCAGGCTTTTGAAAGAATGGAGATCTGCAGGAAGGAGGACAACTGGAAGAGCATATCTACATTCTCCTCTGTGATCATCGTCTGTCCAGTGTAGGCAAAATCCAGAAAGGCTTTGATTGCTTTGGGGGACAAATTGCTCATTGTCACACTGCCATCATCTCGCTCTCTCATGTTCACTTCAAACATGGCCCTGTGAGGAGGTGCAACACATTCCAGTTACTGTTTGGGAATTTCAGGCTTGTGCAATAATTACAGTATGTGCACCTATGTTGATGGCAAAGAAGAGAGCCCTACATAAAAACTATTACGTGAATCAATTTTCATTTAGTGGGGGTAAACCATAACTAGACCCAGTCAGCTAGAGAAAAGTTAAAAACTACTGTACACATTGACAAACACATTTTGTGTCATGTGAGGCATGGACACTTCATTGAACATTTCTTTAAAAAATGACAACATCTAACATTACTACCATTTGTCCAAACTATTTTCCCATGTAATACAGTTTAAAATCTAAAGCTTAAGGCCTGAGTAAAGGAAGAAAAACACTTTTTTTCTCCTTTCATGTAAGTGACTTAAATCTGAAGGAAGTCAACTTTGTACTCTTAGGTTGTGTCTTCTAACATGTAAAGTACAGTACCTGAAAAAATCACTGCAAGCCGCAAGCACACAGCGATGGCAGGGTATTGTCTCCCCTTTGACCAGGATTTGAAAATCGAAGAAGGCATTCTTCTCCCTGAAACTCTGAAGCACACTCAGGATCTCCTGTCCATGGTCCTCTGCCACCAGCACAACAGGTTTCTTCTCCGGCACTCCATTGCACACAGTCTGGCTGAACGGGTCACACCGGCTCTCCATCATCACAGTCGGTCAGTTAAGGATGGACTAAAATATAACAACAAGGGCATTCGTTCATTTAATACTTATTTATAAAGGATTGCACTGTTTAATTCCTAAGAGTGAAGAGAAACCTAAGGAGCAGCTACTGTAGTATGAAACAATAATTTACATTACAATTTAGATGGTTCCCCAAAAAAGGGAATGCACTAAAATATAAAATAAAATTATGTAAATATATTATATTTTTTCTACTATTGCACATTGTGGTCCTGATCTGGCTTTTTAATTGCCAACCTGTTTTCCTGTAGGATGACCATTACATATCTCTGACATGCAGAAAAGAAAACTGGATGTAATCAGTCTTTACCACCAAAAGGCATTAAAATACTTTTCTCTGTCTAAAATAATCACATCGAGAACAGCAAACAGTCCATGCAAGCCAGTGTCAGAAATTGGTTAAATATTCGTATACTATCTAGCGGAATTACCTCAAAAAGCGAATGCAATGTTTGCAACGTGACTGATGTGCAACCTGTAAAAACAAATGAAAGAAACTTCTTTAGCAGCCCCAAGCAAGACCTGTCTGTGCATGCTGCTATGAAACTTGAGCATGAAGCAGCCATGTCCAATACGGACAGCTCATTTAGTAAAAACCTGCCACAATGGTTTCCCGAGTCTTTTCCTGTTAATAATTAATATATTAAGGTGGATAATTTACTATCCGCAGTCTGTTTAATTGGATTTCCATGGGTCTTGATGTGCTCCTCAGAAGCAAGCAGTTCCGGAGTATTCGCGGTTTTATACAATGTAATAGTGGTTCAAAATTAACAAATATAATCATAAAATTATTGTAACCGTTTACAACTACAGCGAAACCACGACGTTGAACTGCAAATTCAAAATATTGTGCTTACCTAATTTAGAAATGTTCAATTCTACTTTACCTACGATTTCAGCACCCTGGACAGCAATTGCTGCTCCGCCTTGAAAAATATACCGGAAGAGCGAGAGATCGGAGTCTGAAGGCATGATAAGACAACAAGATGAGGAAATGATGTCAGGGTTTATCTCTGTGCTTCCTGGCAAAGGCAGACAGGTATTAAAGTTTTTTTTACTCCTCTCTCTGGGAAAAAAAAGAAAACGTTTGTTCGAATGGAATTCCTCCTTTCACGCAGGCTTTCATCGTATTTGTTGTTTACTTGTCACCAACAAAAGACGCATTTCATACTAAACTTACTCATTGACTGTCCATTTCTGCTTGTATGAATGAGTTACTGAAGATTTTAGAAATGTTCTTTTAAGTTGTGGTATCTTGTTTCCCATTATTATTCTGAAAATATCTATAGATTTTAGAGAGATTTATGTTTAATAAAATAGGCATAATAGGCCTGTCAGGTTAACGTCTATGTAAAAATGATAGGAATAAAAAAAATCATCAGGTAATTTAAAAAAAACAGCTTTTAAAATATAATCGGAAAGCAGCTGCATTGCGAGATGCTATGATGTGTAACATAACAGACTTGCTTATTATTTAACAGGGATGAACTACTATTAAAGCTTTAAGTAATTTAGTACACTACAAAATGAAGTCTGCATTAAAAGTATTTGTAGTACTCATTTTATTTTATAAACTTTTTAGGAAATTAACATTTACAGTGAATTAATAACATTTTGTTAATAAATATTAATTTATTAATACATATTTTGCCAGGTTTCAAATGTTTGTTTTGTGTTTCTTAGAATAAATCTGTTGTTTCATTTTGTCAACCTAGATTTGATAGTGTAAAACGTATTGAGAGTACTGTATTGAGTGTGCTGGTTTAAGAAAATGGTGCAGATGTAATTATCAATCTACAATCTCTGTACTCTAAAAATGTAAGCATTTAAAACACAAATCCAGTTACATTTTTTATTACATTAAGCGTTTAATATAATAAAAAGCATATCTTTTTTACACTTAAGTACACTGAATCTGCACATTACACAAGCATCAGATCTACTAGTGTGTATTGTCAACAACACATAGGCCTGAGTAGAAACGGCACAAAAAAGCCAATATGCTGGACTAATGAATTTCAACATGCGCCATGATACTGTGACAAAGATTCTTTTTAAGCCATTTACACATCTTTTCCTAGGAGTGATCTACATTAGTGCACGCTAAGGCAAAGCCCTTTAATTTTAAACACAAATGCATTTTTTATTAACCAAACTGTGTATTTACAATAAGTCAAATCAATCATACATGGAAAAGAAAATAACTAAAATAAAGTGAATGATTATATCCCTGCCTTACGTTAAGATGTGAAAGTAAGCTTAAGAAATAGTTCCACCACAGATTGACATTAACACAATTTTAATGTCGCTAAAAACATCAATTTTAATACTCAGTCAATAATACAATACTGAAATGATTTCTTTGCAAAAATAATGTTATAATTCACCTTTCTTGAGATCTGTACTGTTTTTGACTGCACAACATGCTTTAAATATTATTATGATTTCATTAAAGTTCAGCATGCAAACCCAGTAATTCCTAAAGAAAATGACCAACACAATAGAGAGCTGTAATAATGAAAAGAATAAAAACCTTGAATAAATTAAAGGGCTTTACAAGACTATACACAGTTAAGAGTCAATTTTACAAAACATGCCATGATGCTAACATTTTGTATACATTGTGATGCTGTCATGGAAAACATTTACAAAAATAGAAAAATCTCCTCTAGGGAAACTCCAGGAAGAGAGAGTCACATGAGGCAACAGGAAGTGCAGACACTGGTAAACAGCTAACCTTTGGAATGGATGAGTGTGTAGCAATACTGGAGATGGCAAAAATATGGTAACATAACAAAAATGCATGCATTAGTGCTGCATGGATCTATCCTTAAAACGCTTAAATAACTTTAACTTTATTATTGCTTTGGCTATCTGAATACTTAAAGTGAGTCATATTCTGTTTTGGCATCCTATCGATAAACAGGTACACAGTACAAATGGCCCACTATCAAATTAAAACGTCATTAAGTTTCTCTCAGTGTAATAGCTAATCTTTCTTTAAAAATACCCCTGTATGTGCATTTATTTTTCTCTAATCAGAATAGTCATTGCAGTTGTTTGTTTATTCAGATTGCAGGATAGCCGCCTCGCTTGCAATACTTTGGCTATGTGGGTTAACCAACTGCAGCACTGCCACGCATGCATACAATTGCTATGGTCATTCATTTTGCTGGTGGTGCTCAAGGCTGCAGGTTCAATGTGGATGAGCAGTTGGCAGTGATGAGACACAGCTGGTGAAGGGGGGAGGAGGTGTGGCCAGGAACAATTACAGGTTGATTAAGTGATCTGAGGCAGTGAAATGGGGGCACAGGGCCATATTGGGGTTCCTCAGCTGCTTCAGGATCCTCTTGTGAAACTTTGCACGGACACAGTTGAACTCCATTATATCAGAAGGGTCCTCCTCAGTCCAGAAATTATGGAACTCCTGCATCAGATAACCTAAACAAGAGTAGAAAAAATCTTGACAATGTTGCTACAGTTTGAACAACATTCACCATTTTATTCTGTGAACTAATATCCGATCTAAAAGTGCTATAAATACATTTGCCTTCTAGGCAGTAAATTATAGTCTTTTTATGACAATACAAACAAAAGCACTATACATATCTAGTGAACAATAGCAAAGAGAAATACAGCACCACTACACTGTAAAATAATAGTATCTAAACAAGCACTGAAATCAATGAATTATTAGCACTTTTCAAAGAAAATTATTTTCTTGTACCGCTGTACATTAAAAACAATTTGGATACAACGGAGAATGCACAACCAATCAGAAAATGAAAGAGAACAGTTAGAAGAATAATACAATTTTAATAAACTGGAGAGCCTGGAAACATCTGAACAGGGAGTCTTATCACAGATGCAAGTCTAGTTTGCCCTCCAGTTGCATTGCAGAATCAGATCTCCAACTGAGACAAGATCTCGATTAGATACAGTTTTCTCTGTACAGGTGTACACTTACAGAACGTCTGCTGAAAGTGCGCTAAAGTGGGCATCTCAGGGGCCACATTGTACAGATGTGTCTTCAAAGCTCCACTCACAAGCAGCGAATACGTCAGATCAGTGATGTTAATGCCCACTATAGCAAAGGAGTACCTGCAAACAGATCATTTTAAACAGGAATTTGTCATTATCGTCAATCCGTCCTGTCAGGTTATTTGCGAATAACAGTTTTCAGCCTTTCTTCATCTACAGCCTCTACATATTATTACTCTGAAAAAACAATATGCACTCATATTGTTTGCACTCAGCCAATAAGCTTTAATTACACTCCACAGGGAACATTCAATCACCCAGATGTTCCTAACCAGACTACAACATACTAGTTATAGTCTAGTTCAATCCATAACTGTGATTTATCCAAATCTGCAATATAATAAGCAATATAACAAAGGGTAGGTGTGTGTTACCTAAAACATATTTAGTAGAAAGTAGAAACGAAGACACAGCTCAATGATACATATGTAGGATAAGTTGTGCAACAGAGAACGTTTGGCAGGGAAAGGAAGGCTCTGAGTATTACTGACTAAAACTTCAGTACTGAAATACTGGAAGATCTAACATCATAAATCTTTCTGTTTTGTTTTTTGGGGATATCACAAGCCCTTTCCACTAACCCCTTCCCACTCATCTTACACGCCTTTCACAAATAATTGGTCAGCTTTTTGCCTTTTTGGGCTCTTCCTGCCACGTTTGATCATCTCAAGAGCTGCCTCAGCTCTTTTTATTTCCTCCTGCAACCGATCTGCTGAGGTAAGTTCACCAGACAAGCAGATTTTCTTTAAGCTAGATGGCCACTGGTGACAATTAGGCTTAATGCATTGTGAAGGCGCTTGACAAGCACAGAACAATTCCCCTGTTTTTAAGGAATCAAAAAGCACAAGTTAGATCAGGAGATTCAGCAGGCAATATCTGTGTGCAGTCTTCCATGGTTTTGTTAGGTTTTTACCTTTTTAAATGTCTTTTTGATTTACCTCTCATGTTTGAGCTTAACCCACTAATTTTAAAGGGTTCTTTTTTTCTTCCAACAGAAGGTACAAAGAGAAAGCTTTTAAATCAATGATCCTACCTTTGAGTGCCCTTTGTAGGCAGCTGAATCTATAGGGTAGTAGCCAACTATGTTGCATGTTAGCAAAGGGTCTTACAGTTCTTGTTTTCTATTAGCTTTTAAATATCAAACGATGTTTTCAATTAATAGGTCAAATTAGAACACAGCCACAGTACCTTTAGTAAGGTGCTTTGCCCCAGTTATACAAGCAAACTAAAACAGTAAAAAAGTCTGTAGTTTTGAAGGACTGTTGCTCTTCAAGATTTGTAATGGTCAAAAGAGATTTACTTACCCTATTGCTTTATCAAACTTCTTTTTTTCCCATTCAAGTTCACTCATCTTGCTGTGAAAATACATACAAAGCAACTGTATTTCACGTTGGAAGCATCACTGTGTTCTTATTTTTTTTAATTGCAGCGTGACTGCTAACTGAAAGTTCTACCACAAAAAATTAGTAAAGTTTATTTGCAACATGTAAATAATAGTGAGGTGAGAAGTAAACATAAAAAACCAAAATCAATATGAAATACAGTAAATGAAATACCTTTCTCCTTCCTTGGAAATATTCCTGGATGTGAACAAAGATGTTAAAATAAGAATGTTAAATGAAATGTGATGGATGTGGTCAACATAAATAACACAAGGTACTAAATAAAGTGCACCACAATGCCTGATTTACTTTTCACATTTTGATTCACAATGGAAATGCAGAAAATCAATACATGATGAGGGGAATAAAACACACAAGAAAAGCCATTGCCATACCTGTCTGCAAGAGGTAGTAAAATGTTAATTTCTTCTTTATAGTTTCTTTTCTAATAACTATGAACTAAATGAAGGCATTTCAAAACATTTATACTCCTAATTAACTGAGGACACCACTATCATTCAATACACTTTGTCATTCTATTTAAATTTATAAAGGACAACATACTACATGGGCCCTCGTTATGTACGAGCTTTTAAAATATTCTGTTTTTTAAAGTTAGTAGGAGTGTACTGTAGGTGTAAGGATATGATCATCACCAGCTGGAGGAAACCCAGAATGGGGAAAGAACACAAAAGCTGGAGATAATTAAGTAAGTGTTCCTTTGTAATTAACAATTTAATAAAAAAGCAACAATGTTTAAAGTGATTTGTAACCTAACCACAGACCTAGCCAGGAGGGAAGTATTTTTTTCTTAAAAGCCGTTTATAGCCACTTAAAAGCCATTTAAAGTACACATCTAATAGCCTTTAAATCATTAGAATAAGTTAGCTGCTAATTGTGCCAGATATAATTTGAATTGTTTTGCCCATTATTTGCTTTTCTTGATGGATTGTGCTTCACAAATTTAGGTTGAGGTACTAAATGTATTTCAAAGTATGCATTTAAATTGGTGGGTCATCTTATCTGCACCAGTAGGTACAAAAAGAGCACCTACAGTATCACCACATGGGCATCCCAGTGACTCAATGGTGAGTTGTCACTGTCAACAGTGTGTCTCTTGCTTTGAAAAGCCTCACCTGTGCTTTGGCTGCAGAGAATCATGAAGCACTTGCAGGGCTGTGGCATTGTCGTGTTCAGCAAAGTATCTGTAAATATTAAGCTACAGCAGTTAAATTCAGCAACACTGAATACATTTTGACAGACATAAAATAATTTATTATATATCCAATTTGGGTGGTTCGAGTATATCATAAAAATAAAGATGGCTATTCTAGCTGTAGGTAAAAAATAAAGCATAGTAAACTGATCTGTAAAACATGAAGAAGTTCTGTTTGATAAAACTATTGCTCCTCAAAATGAACTTCTTTTTCCAGGATTTCGCAGAACATTTTAAAGCTTTTGATGAATTTCAACCTAAAAAAAATGTATATGAACTGTAGTACAGAAGCCAATACTCACAGCAGGTTATGCAAACCAAGCAGGCCCATTCCTCTAAAGTCTGTCTTGGGGTCACTGCCCTGGAAACCAATTTCACACCACTGCTTTGTGATTCGGCCTTTCAGTGCTGCATCAGGTCGCAAACACTTCCACAGCTAAAAAAGGCAAAAGAGGGTAACAGTGCTGAAGAAATTTGATGAAACGCAGAAGCACAAAGATGTTGAATTCAATACTGAATATTTTTACATATTGAAGTATGTGATATTCAAGAGTATTAATATTGTAGTAATAATATTGTTTTTTATAAGGTCAAGTAGGTAGCTGCATCAGCATGCATAGGCTGCAAAGGAACAAGTAAAGGTTTATTTCACAGCCGAAATGTTGTGTTTCTTTTCTTCTTTTCAGCCTGGAATAAACCTGTATTGGTTTTTTTTTAAGGCAAGTTGAATTCCGAACAAAAAAAAAGAAAAACAAAAAAAAATTCCTTAGGTTCATAGTCCTACACCTTGCACTTGGTTTAGAAGGAAGATGCACAAAGCTTTGTCCATCGCACACTTCTTGAAATACCAATAGGTCTTGTTCATCTAAAAAAAGTAATCAATGACCTCCGGAGACTTGATTTTGAAAGCAGATATTCAAATTTGACAGAGTTAACTAAAAAAAGCCTACATGAAAACTGTGAGATCTGCGTCCCTGTAAAAGGTCTGGTTTGAGTTTATATTATGCGGCAGTGTAACCAGTTATAAGCAGTATGCTGGCGCAGGCTGGATCTTGTTGTCAAGACGGCTGTCTGAGTGTCTGCTGCACCTTTAGCAGTAAGTCCTCGTGCTCAGGGTTCTCGCTGTCATATGGCTCTCGTCGCAACTTCTCCACCTCAGCCACCAGGCTCCTGTAGCCTACAATCTGGAGGAGACTGGCCTGTAAGGATATTCCCAGCCTGGAGCACACAAAAACAAGGGAAAACACAAAACAGGGGACTTGAGCTCTTTGGTTTTAAGATCATTACTCAAACACGCTCTTGTGAAAGCTGTTTGCCGTACATACTGTGGGTTAGTATCCGGATTGATCTTTTTCAGATTCATTATGTCTTCAATGGTCTTCTCCACTGAATCAGGGTGGACAGTTACAGCTGACTGCAGGAGCTGTAACAGAAGGGATGATGCAATGCAAAGAATCAACACACAATGAAAATGGTTTGTGTTCGCTCACCTGCAGTGCATTACAAACCAGATGTACAATGAGACACAGATGGGCATTCCCCCTAGGTTACTCCCCAAATCATATCAATTTCAAAATACAGGACTGGGAGGATATAAAAAGACTGAGCATTCATGTTTGCTCCAGTTTTTAATGTTACAACGTAAGAGCCAGGAGGGGCTGAAAAAGAAACATTGCAATACCATGTAACCAGACAACAAAAATGTGCTTCACACTCACCTCAGTCTTAGAGAACTTGAGTGAAGACTCTGTTAACAGAGGAAAAAATACATTAGAATTTAAGAAGAAAGCAGGTTGTCAAATCTGTAAAACATGTGCGTTTCAGCACACACAATGCAGTACGCTGCAGGTCCACAAGCTATGATTGAGCTCTGCTGATTGAGGAACCTGCTAGTTCATGTGAGTGTGCTCGAGAATGTCTTGTAAGAACTACAGTACTGTACCTATCTTGAGCGTTCTTCGAGCTCCTGGTTTGTTGTTGTAGCAGATTCGCTGCAACTCACAGCGGCCTGTCATTTTGCGAATCACAAACTTCAGGGATCGCCACAGACATTTACAGTAAAGATAGAGGAAGAACTGCATCAGCACCCTGCCGAAAAAAAGGGACAGACGCAAAATGTATTTCAAAAGAATAACTTAAAGGGCAAACATGTTTGAGATCAATGTAATATGCCACTCCTTACATTTAGATATCAGATTGCGCATTAATGGATATGCATATTAGCTTTTAAAAGCACAATATAAAATAAAACTTATTATAACTTGATTGAACAGTTGAAAAGCATAAACTGCCTGGTCTCCTTACCACAGAGTAGCCCTTTATTCCATTATTTTGTTTATAAACGATTTGACCTCACGGACGTCTTAATTTCAAGAATTTCAGATTTGCTAATACAACATTAAATTATAAAGAATGTGACAGCTTAAGCAATGCCTTGTTTCTCAGAAGCTGGCTCCCATATGACAACAGCACAGAACAAATGCCATGTATCAATTAAACCACAGGGACATTGGCCTCATAACGGGAAAGAGTAAGCTAAACAATTTTTCAATGCACTGGTATGGTAAGACTAAGTGCAAGTGAAAAAACCGACTGCATTCTCCAGAATTCTTTTTAATCATCAAAGAGCAAAAAAACAAACACTGCCCTTCAACTCTCTGCCTCTTTGTGTAGTCACATTATGCTAAAAGTGCTTAGAGTGTTTGCTCATGCAATTTTGGCTTAGTCATTATGCGAGAAAGAGATGAACAATATTGGCTCTCTATCAATGCCCATACATTGATGAACTTGCCTCTATTTCTATGGAGCTTAGCAAATTCATTATAAGGTGAAGTGTCTAATTTTGTTCTGAACTGAAAAGTCCAACCACACATGCAGCTCAGTCCATTTTCTTGAGCTCAACTAGAACAGAGCAACAAACTGGGACACAGGACGCATCATCACCTTCTAATCTAGTACAGACTCAACAGGGCTTACGAAACTAGGCTAGTTCCCTATAGAAACAAATAGAGGATTTTATACTGAAATGGGCATTTATGTGTTTTTTGTCAAATGGGTCCAGCGGTTATTTGCATGTTTAGAGATCTGTTTTAAAGACTGTGTAGCTTAGGCTCAAACACATTGCCCTCTAATCAATGCAACCTTCAATTCTGCTTAATGAGCTGTAGTTCTGTCTATATATTTAACTCTGTAGCTCAAGAAAATTAAATTGACCTATTTTCTGCAATCAGCAAGTGTAGTCATTAATTCTTCAGTCATGTGGTAGATTGCCATCTTGAATGAAGTCTGGGGTGATTGTGTTCATAATGTGCTATAGTAGAATACTCTTTCTGCGCCAAAATGACAACCACTGAGATATTGTTGTATATAAGCGTCATTAAACAACTTGTTTCCAGAAACAAAGCACCGTGATTAAAGGGCTCTGGAATTTGTTTTCAGCATATTCCTCTTTTCTATTCTTTGATAATTCAAAATGTATTTTAATTTAAAACAACACAGTCTCTATCCAGTTCCAGAACACCACGTAGTGTTCATGTCATCTGTCCATACAGTCCCTTCACGGGATGAATCTCAAATGTTTTATTACGATTTAACACATTAGAGTCCCCCTGTACTTCACCACAAAGCATGGTTGGATATCTGTTGATCAGTCAAGAAAAACATGTACAGTAAGGACTCCAGGTAAACTCCTACGTGCTCTTAGCAATACCTATTTGACAATATTGGGTTCCATTCCCAAATTGAACAGGTACAGATTGATCAAATTCTCCTCTCCTTTTACTCTAAATGGATACAAAACAGAACCTGTGATGATCACACAGCAGGTATGGGTCTTAGTTCATGTCAGACAAAGAGACAAATCCCAGGAAAGTCTTCTGCACTTACACTCAATGTTAATCACATTTACACAGTATACAAACATCGCTATACAAAACACTTAGAAAACACTTCCATAGTTTCTTGATGTAGCTGTAAAGTAAGTGCTGCCATTTAATCATCATCAAAGCTGCCATCAAAGATCATGCAGAAGTCTACAATAGTAATTTTCCATTAGGCAAGTAATGAGAAGTATATCTCAGATATACTATTTTGTTAATGGAAGTGAGTTGATATACTGTATGTATTGTCACTACATACAATAGCCCAGAATGACTATCGTTTAGAAAAAAATGTGTTTAACTGTTTCTCCTTTACTCATATAAAATGAAATAATTTCTAGCTACAGACAGTGAAGTTGTAAAATAAGCATGTTCAGGACTATCATGTGGTAAGTAGCAAGGAGAAAAAAATCAATACTGTAGTGTTTCTACAGTACTAAACATAGGTTTGTAGACAATGTACAGTAACTGCATTAACTACCACCAAGGGAACAATAGCTGAAATAAAATGCTCTTGGGTGTGCACGCAGACTTTGTAATTAATTAGCATGTACATTGCACTACAGTACTGTGTACTACAAGAGAATCAACAAAACATAAAATTAAAACTCCGAGAGAACCACAACTATGACAAAACATTGGTTCGTGTTTTGTGTTGTTCAATGCCCAAATGACAATTATTAAACATGAAAGTTTTGTTTTTCAGCATATGTGGTGAATAGGCAATAACATCTAAACACACAGGCCCAACCACAGTGTTTAGTTTACCAGGTTCTTTAGTGCTGGGCTGAAGCCAAGACAATTTAATTAATCATTCCTGTTATACGGTAGATGCTTTGCATGAAATTGTCCAGTAGCACGCCCCTGGATTGAATGAATAAAAGAACAGCCACATCATCACAGAAAAGCATAAATTCATTGATTTGTTTTTCTTACTAAGGGTCCAGATTGGAAGAGACATTGAAAACATGCTGAATGTATCACGATCATATGCTCAGAATACACTTGAGGAAACAACCTGTTAAAAAATTAAAGACACGCAATGTTTCCATTTTGGGGGTTATTATATAAATAGCTTAATAATGAAATACAAAGATCATTATTGTTTGTGTTGCATCACGTTACTGTTTTCTTCCCAATTTAGATTTCTACTTGTCACAGCATAAAGGATGAAACTTCAATTATACTGGCATTTAAGATGATAATTAAAATCCCAAATGAAGATATTTCCTCCAGAATAAAAATGTTTAAAAATGAGCTACTGATCTAGTATGATTTTAGTCACAAGAGCAACAATGAAACAACACACGAAGGTATACATGTTAAATTTTACATTCTAAATCACCTCCATAGTCTATTATAAAGGTAATAGTAATCCTTGTAAAATTATCTTACAAATAGTCCCAAAATAAATAAACACACAAAAAACATACCTTAGAAAATGCTTCATTTTGATTTTCCTTCGTCAAACCTTAATTGATGAATCAATGAAAATACTGAGGTTTCTCTCCCTGTGCAACAGAGTAAAAATACACATATAGATAAAATGCTCTTCTTTATGTTTGTCTAAAATATACACTGTATCATACTGTACATCATGGATAACTTACTCCTTTATACAATAGAAATGAAAATAGATAAAACTATTTTAAATCGATATATTACACACACAGAAGATGTCGGTATTTTACTCAATGATATTGGCTACTGTACCTCACAAAAGCCCTTCTTTGTGTGTGTAAAAGATTAAGATGTCGCTTGTCTCAGTTTTCTACTAAACCTCACATCTTAAAGACAGGAAAATAATATGAATATCGCTATATATGACAAATACGCTGTGTCATGTGCAGGCTGTTGTTTTTAGCTAATGGTTATTACACGTACCAAACGGAATGCCAGTGTCTAATAATTACCCCCCCAAAAAATCACACCACAACAGAATAATTCTGTTTTCAAGAGCGCTAAAAGTAGGGAGCAGTCCTCTTTGATATAAAAAATAGAGAAACGCACAAGGAAGATGTCGCTGCAATTCCACAGGCTCTTGTATTGTTCAGTCCTTGGCAGGTACCTGTTTCTCCTCCATGATGAACGTGTTATTGAATGCTAAGACCGAGCTACCCACAGCATCGCAATGCAGAGCTGCAGCAGACCCGATCTACCCAAGCCACAGCCAAACACAGGGGGCTGCTTTCCTGTCCCCCTCGCTCCCTAGATAAACTAATTTTAATGTTTGCTATATTTAGACGCTGCCCTACATATTGTATGCTTACCTGAGTGAACTGATACAGCGGCGTGCTCACTTGCCAAACAAAAACGTGACTAGTGTGAAGTATCAGGAAAAACAAAGATACTCAAGGGCATCGCTTTTTTCACGAGCCTAATGATTATATCCGTAAGAAAATCCAACTCCGATATAACTAGGCATTGGATAATGTACGATACAGAAACCTTAGCTTGTACGTTGGCTTCGGTATCGCAAACACTTCAGTGATAGTCCAAGCTGAGTGCCTAAAAGCCCAGAAGGTCTGAACAGTATGGAGTGAATAATCGCGCATGGCATGTTTCAATAAGCATATTATTTTAAACCAAGCGGCAACACTTCTACCTTTTTTTCTTTCAGGCTAAGCAAGAGAACTATTCTTCTTTTCTAATTCCATAACTTCGTTAGCGTTTATCTTTGTTGTACTTTTTCTCGATTCATTTATCTATCAACAATAAACCAGATATTTTTTTTTTTACTTCTTTAATAGTGTTGTGCTGTCGCCTCCCCCCTTCGGTGGTAGGTTCGACATATTGATCTGTCGTCGCTTAGCGACAGACGAGTCCTCAGCTCCTGCTCGGACTACAGTGCTGAATAGCACATCTTTCACAATTCACACTCTTTTAGTCATTAAATATTCTGGCATACTGACAATAGGAATGGCCATCGCGGACTTTAAAAGCATGCGTTTAAGAAATGTTTTAAAGGCATATAAACATTTTTAGTGCTTTAACGATAAAATATGTGAAGAAAAATGCATTGGGATTAGGCGTTTTTTAGAGGCTACGGTGATATTAGGAAAAAGTAGCGATACAACGTGTAGAACATTTCGTTCTCACCTACAATTAAGACGGTATTAGCCTCCCATCTCTAGGCACCAGACAGACAAGCCCAGTCCCCACACTCTCATGACGCTGTTGTAAACCATCGGACAGGAAACACATGGAGGAGAGCTGTAATATATTGGTATAGTACTACGTCATTGTGGCCCGTACTATAATTACACGCAGACACAACGAAAATGTCATAATAAATGTTCTTTTTAAATGATTTTATTTTACAGTTCCTTGCCCGAAAAAGATAAGATGCGTAAACGGAGAGGTCTAAACTCACACGATTGGATTCTTTAAAAAATCCTAAGAGATTGGTAGTTTTCTCTAAATGTACCTGTGGGACACCAGACCCCAGGGAAATGAATTCCAAAGTACAGTCACATTTTAAAGTCTGACATACGTTTTTACAGCGGATTGCGACCTCCACTTGATAGCACTCTCAAGATTCACGCAGTGTAAGATACCACACGAGTAATGTTTTACCAAGAAAACGTCAGTGGGGTTGTTTTGTTTTGTAGAACACACATCTCCAGTATAAATTAACGCAGTTTGTGCACTGTGTGTTCTAGAGGGCTCTTAAATTATTACATTTGAAAATCTAAATAACTTGAATCCTTGAATCATGCAAAGCACAGTAGTTTTTCCAAAATCATTTGTTCTGCATAATGGTGCAAAATGATGACTGACTTCAGGATAGTAGTAGTAGTAGTTAGATAAAATATTGTAATGTGAGCTTTGTCATTAAGGAGTAGATTGAGATCATATCATAGATTATAAACAAAACAATAGATCCACTGTCTTGCTCTCAAAAAGCAGCCCCTCAGAGGAGTATGCTCTAGTGCAAAATCTCATAGACAACATACAGAAAGGGGACAGCGGATTTACACTGGCAAATACTGAACCCCACCACAAGCACAGAGTGGGCAGGGGTTAATATTACAGCTCATGGCAGAACTACTTCTGTGTGTATTATTTAGTAATAAAGGCATAAGAAAGGATGAAAATCAAGAAAAGCAGATTTTGTATTTTAACAGTGTTTTATTATACATATATAAGTGCTATAAAACCTTGGTATTTTTTTTGCCAGAAGTACACAACATTTGTTTAAAGTGCCCAAATAAAATCCTTGAAATCATCTTAATACTTAATGGAACTTAGAAATATATGGATGCATGTTAGAAACTCAGGTCTAATAGATTTAATTAAAAAAACTCAAATATATATGAAACAAAACACTTTAACAAAAGTACAAATCAAAGAATCATATATTTGACACCCTGTCAAAAAGGAAAACATACAAAGTCAGTATCACTTATTGCTGAATTCATTGAACTATAACACAACCCCGGTATTGTTTGATGCCCGGACCTGATCAGCCTCTGAACAGAGTGCTGTGGGATGTTCTGCTTATTGCAAAGTTCCACACAGCTGGGGCCAGACTGGTCAGACACTGCTATCTTGAACAATGCAGCAGTCACCTTAACGCATACAATGATATCCTCACATGCTGTGAAGATATTACTGTACATGGAGGTCTGTCAATTTATCGCAATATACTGTAAGACATTCCAACATGATACATTATCTGGCCCACAAGATAGTAATTGTATCTCTCAGCTTTCAATGTTACTCCTGTATGGCCTGTGAGCATTCAAGTAATTTTATTGCAAATGGTGAGCTACAACCACTCTGCAAATTTGCATTAGTTCATCCAGGAATTTTTCATGTAATGCCCACACACATTCTGAAAATAATTCCATAAATAAGACGGATGTAACATCCCACAGCCAGTTTGAAAGGTCCCCTGTCTTACAGGATGTCACCTAACTCTCAAGAGGTTTTCTGAATTAGTGAAATTATTACTGAAACAGAATATCCATTCTACAGGCAGATTCCCTCACAGACAAGCCATTTTAAATCATGTCAGTAGTGATCAAAGGATATTTATAACTTAACTAGGACATGACCATATCTTTCACCGATGTTGTTTTTATAAAATCGTGCTTTTTCTGCATATCTGTTTAAAGATTTATAATCAACTCATTGGTGCAATTTACTGAACTCAAATACTAAACTCATATGATTTTATGAAAGTTCGGTATTTTGTTTAACCAAATAACAGTACTACTCAAATCCTCAACAAACCCTATCACTATTTAAAATAAAAATAACAACCAATGTCCACAGAACTAGTGACTACTGCGACACTAAGATGGTTGCATTTTCATTGTTCAGCAGCATATCTTGTCTGAAACCAGCCAATAGTTAGCTGATGAATTAAAGTCATCTTTAAAGCCTACTGCATTATTATCCTTAAGGACTAGTTTCACACCTCTGATTTACTCTATCAAATGCCATTTTTAAAGAAACAAAAATGTTTTAAGATTCAGCTTGCTCATTAATTAAGAAGCAAACCCTCACATATAAAACATGCAAGGTGTTACCTCAACAAGGTAGCAGCATTAAGGCAGTGGCAACCTCTGAATGAGTTACAGAAGATTCCAGTTTTAACAATGAAGATAAGGCTTCTCCTGAAACAGTACTGGCATTAATTTCTAAGATGGAAGACAGCTGAACAATATCTTCTCAGTGCTTGACAGACAAGTAATTTGAATGCCATTATTCTTTCAAAACTTTGAGATACGTCTCCATTTAAAAAAAATACAAATCCATCATTTTCATAAAGAAAACACTTCACATCTCTAATACGCAACATTTTAATGTTTCAATCGTTTGTCAGAAGTCAAATAGGTAGTTGAAGACAAGCCAAAATCAAACTTGTAAAAGCATTGCTTCTGAAACCCAGGAAAGACAATGCAATAGATTTTACACTCCCAGCTTCAACAACCGAAGTCATATGTTTTTACGGAATGTGCAAAATAATGATTCACTCTTACTCGACCGATTTCTATCATAGCCTCTCACAAAAAAAACAAATAAATAATACCAAACTGGGGAAAAATGGAGACAGACGCATAATGGCTTTTGTGTCTCACCCTGTGAATGGCAGCAATTAAATCATTGCTAATTCTTTAAATTATCTATAAAAAGCAAACAAAAAACTCTTTCAGACTTATTTTTCTATATAAAAAGCAAGGTGTATTCCAGTCCACTCCATTCCATTTTAGAGTTCACGTGCCTGGGCCATCAGTTGTTACTTGTGCAGCTGCTGTGTCCATTACTGCCGGTGGAATCTCTATGGCCATTTCCTGTTTGTTATCCTCCTCTGTCTCTGAGGCAGGATTATCAATGCCTGGCCCGGCCGGTTCAGATGCAGCAGCCAGAGTGTATGTTGGCACCGAGTTATACATAACAAACCCAATCATGATCACCACCAAGGCGACGACGTACAGAACCGAGAACTGTAGAGAAAGAGAGAGAAAATTATTAAACAAGGACCTTGAATAAGAAACTATCCCGGATCCCCCAAAAAGTTATGCAAAGTATTATAAATAAAGACACCCCTGCATATCTGTTCACTGATCAGATGTAGTTTAGCAGTTAAATGTTCACAAACCAGCATCAAATCTTGGAAACCAATGCAAGGATATTTAGATATTATAGATAATATTCTAATTTAATGAGTTACATGCTACTAATGTTATGGTGTAAATTAAAGAAATACTAAAAAACAGTTCCACTGTACACTCTTAAGTCTATGAATTGGCTAGTTGTGAAAACTAAATTCTTTACACATCCATCCTACACCTGCATACATGATGAAGTCATAAAAAAGCACTGGCATTCAGCATGCTATTTTATACATGTTGCTTATATTCTTAGTTCTAAATTCATATCATGTTAATGTTAATTCTGTATTGGCAACACAACAAAAAGAAAAAAGAACAGAAACACAGCATTGTTTATTATTGCAAGTTTAAGAAAATTTAGCCACTTAAAAGATGATATACTGGTATAACATTTGCTCTACAGCGCATAATGGACATGATTAGCACTGTGCGACTGGTACGAACATTGCAATACTATTCTGTTTACATATTATCAGTGCAGCTGAGAGAACAAAATTAGCATGAAGCAACCTTTCTTAACATTGATATAGCGAATGAATATGAAATAGATGATAGAGGTGAATGATTAAGCACATAATCTTTCTCAATTAGAGCACTTCATCATCCTGTGAAGACCACAAGGAGAAATCTAAACTTTTCTATTTTTACACTGCAGGCTTTTGAAGACAGCATGTCTTTTCTCAAAATTATTAAAGACATTTCACTCTGCTCTTGTTCACAGTTATCCATGCTATGAAACGGATATCAGACCATTCTCGACAGTTGGCTGACTCCTGATGCCACATCTCACCAAGTCATGACTTTGATTTACTTCTACCGCAAACATGAGAGTGTCCTAGCTACTAGCTATAGACAATAACAAACCTTACGGCACTTATTCTTTACACAGTTCTGTGCTAAAGCAGATGGCGAGCCACACAGAATTACAATTCAATCCACTGATTTTGTGACTTTAAAAAACACATGCATGCAAATTTTACATTCCTGTGTTTACCTTACCTGGCAATGGAAAAGGAAGATGCCCAAGAAAAGACTGAACAGGTCAGCGGTCAGCAAGGAGAGGTTCACTGCAGTGGCACTGGTCATTTTAATAATAATGGACATGAAGCTGTACAGCCCAAACATACAGAGAGCATAGACAGCAAACAGCAGGCCTGAAAAGACGCAAACAACTTGAAATCAATTAATCGGACAAAAACATCAATAATCACCTGTTTACTAATTAATTTTCCTGATCCAAAGTAACTCACATGTTTACCCATTTACACAATCTAAAGCAATTTGAACAAAGTACCTTGCAACAACTGTATCCCACCTGTGATTTGAATCCATTACTTTCCAATTACCACTCCAGAGCCCTAACCACTACTCCACTGGTTAGTGAATATTCTGAAAATCTAACAAAATTTAGAAGCTGTTAGTTAACCTCTGCAGCTGTTGTTTCTATTCTTAAACCTACTCGATGGCATTAGTACTTATAATATTTTAATAAGTTCCTGGTATATATTATAAAACCATCTGAACCTAGAAAGTAACAAACATAATGGTCAAACAGCAAAATACATGAAATGAATGTTCACAAAAATAACATATTCCCAAAAAGTCAAACTTGGCTTAGCTGAATTAACACTGAGAAAAGTGAAACACTAAAGTGAAGGCAACTGTGCTTTACTCAAACATTTGAATATTTTCACATCCACAGATTGTGTTCAGAAGGTGACATTTACACCATCAGATGCTTTTAAACAGTATTTAATTGAAAAGGATAAGCACATACAGGTTTTCAAAGGCAAAACATACCAACTTGCCAGGTCCAATTGATTTTTGCAACCTCTCTGTGTTCCAATATGGCTCTGCATAGAAAAACAGAAACTATAATTTTACTAGATCGTTTAAGGTAACCCACCTAATAAATGTACAAAACAGCTAGTTTTTATTTCCCTTTGTAAACCCCGTTTGAAAGTGGCACACGTCTGTTTCGGGAGCGCCCAGAGGTGATTACTTTCTGCAACAAGGATTCTTCTTGTGTGGTACTGTTGTTAGATGATGACTCTGACCTGGGCAGTGGCTGAAATAGATCTGGCTGGCTGGTCTAATAAGAAGATGCTGGCACTGTATCGGGAGCCTCAATATTCCCTCGCCAGGGTTTTCCTGGATCCCGGCCTGTGATGATGTTATTTATATAGAGATCTTATTTACTGCAGTCCCCAAGGCCAGTGGGAGCACAGTGGAGCCCTGAAAAGTTGCTGGTGATGCAGTCAAAGCCCACTGCACAAGGGCTAACCTTTCACCATATTTTAGGGGTCTTTAAGAAGAAATTTGAGGGGGTTAGGGGTGTAGGACTGCTATGTTTCTCTTTGAAAAACAAAAATGTTCACAAAGAAAGACACTATTTATAGTATCACTATTGAAAATTACACATAAAATCCCAAATATTACATTTTCAAAGGGAACTTAATATTTCTCTCATTTCCCTTTCTTACGTTGAAATACAAAACTAGAAATCTAGTGTTTATAATTTTTTAGAACTGAACTGGTGACTTGTATCAACTCAATCATTCATGTCCAATTAAAGTTACATAGCATACAGATAGCACAAGTGACCACAAGTGCAAAATACATGATGCAGAGACACTAAGCCATCCTTGACCCCGGACCCAACACATGGATAGAGAGAAATCGTGTCTTACAGCTGTATTCCACTTAGCAAGGTCCCGAACATTCCCACCATGCCTAGGAATTCCACTCGGCTCAGGTTTTTCACGGTGTACTCCTGGCACACATTGGAAACACCATACAGGGCAGCACCAATGAGAACCAGACAATCTCCTAACAGAACGTCACTTGCTGTGGGGAAAAACACAAAATCAGCTTGAAGACAAACAAGCTGCACCTTCGTACCTCACTCAGACTTCCAGAACACACACAGCATATCCGGTATTTATCAGTCGAGGTTGAATAGCTACTCAAAACTTAATGCAAGTTAAAAGCACTACAAAGTTATCTTAAAAATGTTAGGTTCAAATTTTGTAATGCATCTATTTGAAGCCCCATGTACGGATTCAGTAATTTCTGAATTTATCCACATTTTCGAACCACAATTAGTCTGAATAAGAAGTAAATCTTTAATATAAATGGATTTATGCACAGTAGCAAATGACTCCATTAATGTTGCACCTGTCACCATCGCCCTTTTCCAGAAAGGGACACATTCCAAACACATAGCAGGTCAAGTTATTTAAAGTTTAATAATAAACAAAGCTTTTGCACATTAACTTAGATGACAGCTGGTGGAGTGAAACTCAAGCAGTAAAATCTGGAATGGCTTGTGCTGTTGCGTAACCTACAGTTTATTTTTCTCCATCTTTTTGTGAAACTTTATTAAGAGGATGTTCGCTGAAAAAAAACACATGGAAACATTTGCTCACTAAAGGCTTTGGGGAAAAAAAAAAACATTTTTTTGCTTACAGGAGCCCTGGTCTCTTCCTGACAAAACATCAGCCCCAACCATCGCACCAACTCCCAGCAAGCACACTCCCACCCCCACATAGTGGACTATCCTGTATCTGGTCTTCAGGAAATACCAGGACAATCCCATCAACACGGGAATCACAAAGCAATCCAAGAGCTGGAAGACAAACAAGGCAAGTTTCACACCAGCAGAACAACTCTTACTCACTCACAAGTCCACATATTAAGAGTCTTTGTTTGTTTAAACACTCTTCATGAAGATTATGTATCTTACACATTAAGTTTTAGATATTAGAGCAGATTAGTTCTATAACACTCTAATCACTTAAAAAGCAAATGCTAGCAATGATAATTATATAACAAACTTATAAAGATTAAGGAAAGGTGTTACCTGTATGCTTGTGAGTGTTGTGAACTGATATGCCTTCACTACCATATAATTGGCTTCCACATCAGTAATTCCCAACAATAAGTACTTCCACCATTTCGCCTTTAGAATCTGCAAAATATTTTCATTCCCTATGATTAAAAGAAAAGTAACCAATGTGTTATTCCTGTAAATATATGTGATATTTATCAGACCCAAGAATATAAAAGTGGGTATTATCTTAAGAATACAAAAAGTTCATTAATGAAAAGGGGTCATTCAGTCCATTAGCTAACATGGCACTTAGATTCACTCATTTCGTGAAAGAAATCGCAGTATTGACTTTAACAATTACTACATGTACAGTATTATTTCAACAACATCTTAAATAAACATTACTAAGGCAATTTTAACAAGCAATGACAATTAGCACACAATCCAACAACAGTTTTTCAGTTTGTTTTATATACAGCAAGAGATGTCTGTAAATGAAGAGACTGTGTGAAAACAAATACATTAAGGAGACAGGGATACACTGTATTGTATCTTTTGCTGTTGTTAAGGAAGCCATCCAGAAAAACAACTGACAGAAAAACTGGCAGACAGAATACATTTGAATTCCAAATGGAGAAGGTCACAAATAGAAAGACACAGGCCAAATTTCAACAACTAGGTCAAGCTGATAAAAAAGCATGGAAGAAAGAGACAGCTGTGGCTTCTAAGCAAAAAGTGAGAACAACATACGATGTGTATACTGTCCAAAAGGTTTACCCACCTTTTCTCAAGGCCAACGCAAAAGTATATGTCAGAAACAGTAAAACATAATTAATAAAGCTCTGTAGCATTGGAGTGTTCACAGAAAAACTTTGTGCCAAGTATTGGCTGGTGACCGCAGTCCCACATATAAGCACAGATAACCACTGACCCAAGACTATAGTTTGAAGCAGATTCCTGAAATAAATTAAAAAACAAAATGTAAATACATTGAGAGAAGACAAGTCAATTTCTTGCCTGTCACTTAAAATCACTAGTTTCACAAAGACACAAAATCCTGTTTTAAAAGGCAATCATGATAATTATTAATACCTTTAGTTAGGTGTCAGAATTCCCAAATGATTTCATCCAGTTCCTTCATCTTTTAAAAATGGTATTCTGGGAGAATAGCTGTCTGTTATTTTAGAAGTAAAGCATACTTGATCCTCATGAAAGGACCAAATATACTGTAGAGACCCTCTGTAGACTGTAGAGAAACTTGTTTTGTTACATTTGGTTTGTATGTGCGTGTATGCACCAGTATGTGCATGAAGCTTGGTACTGTAGTTCTAAAGCTTCTGGCTTAGTTTGTTGCGGGCCGTGAAAAGAAAGAAACTTTCACCTCTGTCCTGGGCCTCCTCATTAACTCAGCCAAGAAAAGGGTCGGCTTAATGATACTATGAGAAGTGACCTTGACATGACTTTCCAATCGGCAATCGAGCAAACAGCAGAGAAAGAAAGCCAAAATATTGTCTCTCCCAGTTCATCCAGTTAGGTGTACCCATTGGTGGTTTGCAGCTGTTGTTTTACATTACCTGGGCATGTATACTTTTAAACATCTGTACAATTAGTGTGTGTCTGTGCATGAGGTCACAAGGTTTCTCCCTATAACACATTTGGTCCTTTCAGACAAAGCAAGAATGTCAGGTTTATGCTTTCACATTAAGTATGTTAGTTCTTGAAAACTACCTTTAAAACACTTTTTTTTCTAAAACTGGCAAATCATGGAGTTTAAATAATATGGGAGATTGTGTCTGATAATTAAGGGTTTGGATTTAGCCAATCAATAGGTTTAGGCTAACCCTGAAAATGGTTACATGTCTCAACTCTTTATTTTAACAATTATGGTTTAAGCTGAGTGGCAAAACATGCACTCCAACCACAGGGCCTCCTTTTTTCTCATTTTTTCATTTTTACAAAGTGGTCAGTCTGATCAGAAAATCAGTTGTTAACAAACACCTGCAATAAAACACTCCATTTAATTAAAATAACTGAACAACTAAGAAACTAATGAGATGTTCTCTTATTAAGAGCATGTTTTCTTTTTAATCTAGCAGCCTCTTAGTAAAGAGTACAAACTTCCACAACAATGTTTAAATAAGTTCTTTCAAAGCTTATTCAACTCACCATGTAAAAACTTCTTTCAATTTATATTTCCGGAACATACTGAGAAAGCTGCTTTCGCTGCTTGTCCTTTGAGCAGAAGGTAATGTGGTTTGCTCCTGGAGTTCCATTCTTTTTTGAAGCAGACCTAAAAATGATCAATAAATGTTACTTGCTGGAACTCTGGACTGAAAACTTTACAGCACTCCTCTAAATCATTAACTCCCAGACTCAAAGTGCAGAAGAAAATGCTTATCTGTCTTTAAGTGTCCCCCAATCAGACAACTAAGACATACTGTAAATAGATGCATTGCAAAGTACCAGTGTACCTGTCAATTTTTATGATGCCTCTGGGTCTTTAATCCACACAAATATGCCTCTACATTATCATACACACTTAAAAATCCGTCTTGTAGCACAGTTCCAACAACTCAGGTCTTTTAAGCTCATTCACTAAATAATTGCCCAATGTGTTGTTTTTAGATGCACCTAAATTTTAACATCAGTACTTACTCTTTCTGTATACATCAACTACTGTCTAATGTTTTACTGTAAGATAACAGACTATGGCAACACAGCAGTGCCTGCAGAGCAGTAGCAATGT